GGAAGCTGTCTATTGACAGTTGACAGTCAGCCAGCGGCATATCGCGAACAACGGGAACCTCGTACAATTTCCTTTATTCACGTTTTCATAAGCTATTTAATATTAATATAAGAGACGTGAAATGTAAACCGAATCTGTGAGGTATAAAGCCTAAAATAGCTTGGAGCTAAATTTATGAAAATCCAGGTTGCCAATATACAAATATATACATACATTGGTATTCGAATATCGACATGAGCATGAGCTGAGCAGAACACGTACCGTAACATGTTTGTGACAGGCAAGAAACTATGTGATAGAAACAAACAACACATATTGGCCTTGTTGTATATAATGTAGTTGTGAAACTATACTCAAAGTGTTAACTTAGGCTATAGAGTTCACTGTTTGTAAGTGCAAATTTCATATACGTTAAGTACTTGGAAATACAAAACACAAACAGGCTACTGTGCATGTGCTTATAACAACCGATAAAATCTGGATCATTCAGGGTCTATAATAGTTCGTTTCCTTTTTGGCACGAATCTAATTATGCAGATTGGATTAGAATAAGCCGAATTATCTAGGTTCATTGTTCAGATAATGTGATTTAATTATGTATACTGAATGTTTTGGAGATAGCGGCGTGTAGCAGCCTCCATCTTCGCCTACGTCCCGCCTACGAGCGATCGAATGCTCTGTTCGAACGCTGTCAAGGCAGGGATCCACTTGATATATTTCGTACTCAATTACGCATTTGTTTTCGTTGCTGTACAGTGTACGTAATTACTTTACAAATAAACGTTATTGGAAAAAGCTTTCGGAAAATTAATGATGGGTATTCAATGTCCAATCGTAAGATGAATTGAAAATTTATGAAATTGCTAGAGACATTTAAAAGGTATTACCGTTTTCCGATCATTTGCAGCGGTTATAAATTAATGGGAATTCTTTTAAAGCGTTGAATTGTACGCGCATTATTTGTACCATAACTTTGTTAAACGGCGCTTCAATAAGCATCGGCATCCCTTCGTAAGTCAAAACTATGTGCCGATCGTAACATATGAATGGATACTACACGGTAGAATGAGTATCCGTTACAGGGAAAAAACTTCTGCAATTTCTCAAAACTGTTGCTATACGAGAACAAAATAGACGCCTCAGAAAGCTGGTGGAATGTACGGTTTCTTCATTATTTACCGAAAAATTATAGTGAATTTTATACGAACAATGGCTTTAATGGTGTTTGTTCTGTACCTGAGTTTTTGTCCCCGCGTTGAGTGCCGAGTGCCGAATAACAGGAAGCAGATGAATGTACAGGCGTCGAGCAGGTAAATGGCGCCAACCAGTACTTTCTACAGAAGAGGGTATTTTTGAGAATTGCGCAACTGTTTTGGTTCTGGACAATCATAAAGTTTTTGTGAATTAGGCTGTCTTTCATTTCACTTTTAATAAGAATACTATTGCTTGTAACGATGATTTTGATGACTTTCTATTGAGAATTTATTACTATTTGAAAAGTTCTACCACAAAAACAACGTCTATTTCAATGATAATGGTAATCAAATGGCATTCACCGTGTGCGTGATATCCACTTCCCTGTTCTTAAATTAGTTTATAAAGCAAGCGAAGCGTGGTGATAACGCCAGTATCGAATTTATGTAAAGGAAATTGCCTCCGAGTGGAGGCTTCATTGCTCACCGGCTTGAAGAACAGCCCCTGGTATTAACCGCTCACACCTGCGGTCGCTATGAATTTGTTTAAAGGGGGAATTTTATTTCCCCTTACATGGCTTCATTATTGAAAACGGTAAAATCAATTGTTTATGGGGAGAAACCGAGTGCACATTGACAAAATTTAGTTTAATATACAATTTTAAGATGGTTTTTACATAAACTATGGCTGAAGTCGGACGAAAATAAACTAGAGGCAATATCAGTTGAAGAAAATCGAATTTCCTTTGGAAATAGCAATCTTAAAGATGCAGCACGTGCCAGACTCTAGCACAATGGACCTTCTAGGACTAAACGATTCAAATAAGTCTTTCTTACGAGCTCCTATAGAACCACGTAGAATTTTAATTCGACAGTCACGTCTTTTATCTAGCGATTACCTTTGGAAAGGATAATGGAAAATTTGAACTTGTCTAAATCATTTTATTCTGTTTCTAATGTTAATGTAACTATCACTTAGTTGTATATTTGCAGGCTGTGGTCAGCTAGTATCAGTTACTAGTGGCCACTGCATTACCTTACTGATAATATACACCAATATGGCAGCTCAACAGCTAATGTTACAGCTGATTCTATTAAATAATATAACATAGGTACCTGTAAATGGATATCTACAGATGTTTTGTTGCAGTTCTGTCGAATCGTAACATAATACTTCGGAAGACGGAATAACTGATTATGAAGTAGTTTAATGTGCATTGTTTATACTGTTAACGCAATTTACATAACATGGTTCCGAGTGTTCCGACAGAAAAGCCTTGACCGTATTCGACCTTCGTTTGTTCAGGAACAATGTTCTTTTTTGCTTCATACTCCACAATCACATTATTGAACGATAATATTTTTTATCATCTGTCACCAATCTGTTTTCAATGTTAACAGATGAGTTTAAACTAGCTTGCCATTGTAATGGCAATTCAATATTAGAAATATACGCAATCAGAAACATATGCGGACTATACATTTGAAGCACGACCTATACCCGTGCGTGATACGGCTCTTATCTCTTTGCTCAAGATGTAATTATCGATTGTTTTGGTTAATATTTAACCGTGGTCAGATTAGATTAGTCTTGGTGTTAAAGCACAGACGCACTAGACGCAACTCGCGGTATATAACGGGATGGGTAACCGGATAGCGTGTAATCTCCACCATCTTTATTCTCTCGTCACGCCCGCTGATCCAATTCTGTGGTTTACACGAAAAAATATTCAAAGTTGCTCAATTGAAACCTAGACGCAGCTGTCGCTGTGCAATAGGGTTCGTGCCATTCCGATTGAATTTAGACACGATAAAACTGAAGTAATGATGTTTTAGCCAATACCAGTTCGCATAGCAACTCAACCGATTGTATTACGAGGAGCAGATTCATGCAATTGAAAACTTCGAATTCATTTTGGGAAAGTAAGTTAGAAGAATGTTGGTCAGCATGTTTCGTTGTTTGTTGTTCATTATTTTAAATCGATACCTGACTAGCATTTAACCGATTCTTGAGAATCAGACAATGACTATACTTAACGATTTCCATTTTCTATTCAGCCTTGAATTAAAGGCCATCGGATCGATTGTCATAAAGTTAATTTCACAAGTGCATAATGCAGGGCCTCGTGTACTCGTAATATATGCGGCGGCGGGCTCGTGACGCAAATGCCTCGTCGCTTGCCTCAAGTTACCCAACAGCGGCAATGCGGCGTCGATCACGCTAATCTGCATTCTTATGCTAGAGTACGATATACCAGCTACAATATTGCAAGCATTACCATTTAACGCAACAAATACCAATGTTGACGGATCAGTACCCATTGTCTTCACGCCGCTGACAGATCGAACATGATGTGCGTGATCACGCGTGTGAATATACTCGATCAATTTGTAATTTAGATTATTACACTTCAACGCTTATCTTCAGCGATTTGTTCGTAACCAAGTACGTAATGTAATGGTTGCCACGGTTCAAATATGTATTTCCATCAAAATCGTTACACCTGTTAACTCCTAAAGTTATTATAAGTTAATTGAACTCCATCTTACGTAACATCGAGAGAAATTGAATTTAGAATTTCTCGTAATTGGGAATTAACAGGTTGCTTCGAGAACGATCCGTGCAAACAAGCATTAATTGCGGATCACTTGAACGTTTTCAGTTTTAAAAGTAACCTTATAAACACTTTACGTAGAAAATACTTTAAAATGTGTAAATACAATGCTTGGAGGTGGTACAAAAATAAAATGATGCTGACATCCCAGTTGGCTCATGAAATAAGGCGCATGATTGCCAAACGATAAATAGGACGACGACGTTGACGAAATTGTTAAATATTTTCAAGATAAAAACATCAAATTGAAGACCCCGCTATCCAAAAATAAATCAACCATTATATTTTATTATTTCCACATAAAATCCAGAACTAAAATGTACGTAGTGTTACCATCAATTGTTGAATATATTTAGAGAGGAAATTCTAAGTGGTAAATTTTAGATCAGTCGGGGTAATCTCAGTTGCGAATCGTTTATGGCTAACAAAATAATTTTAAATGAAATATTATTCGTTTATTACTTCCTTTGGCCTCTGATGCACTTTGAGATTTTGAGGAGCATTTGCTAGGACGTTCGCGAATTCTCCTCGGTATTACCAATCAGAGCGCTGCACCCACTCTTTGGAACGGCTGACGTAACGCAGCCTTCACACTTCTCCGATACTGATGCCCGAGCTGAGGATACCCGATAATCACCGTTCAGTTCAATAAAAAACCTTTTGTCACGTCCAATTTCTTCACCCGACTTTTTCACTCAGAAATCAGACTCAAGTAATTGGGTTTCGATGTCTGTCAATCGTTGTTGCTAAGTAATTAATTTTGAAGGATAAGTAATCTAGATTTATATTTTGGTTATAAAAAAGATTGTTTATTAAATATTAGGTATTTATCAATCATAACAACTGCCTATATGTTTTACGGGAATTCCACTATCGTAAGCCAATCTTTATCAGCTCAATTTTGTTTTATTTTGTACTATCATTTTTGATAGCTCGGTATTTCCAAGTGCTATTTTGCATGTCGTTTCGATTGAAGTATTTCTTACCGGCCGCATCGTTATGTATACGCTGTCATTAACTTGTGCAGGAGTATAAAATTGCGTCTATCACAGACTTAGTTTACTAATTAGTACTAGACTTTCATAGAAATGCAACGCCTGTGTTTACACAGTTAGTTCATTAACTTACAAAAAGTAACACCATTATTTCTACCATATTGGTCAATGATGTAAAAATTTTTTTTTGTCCCCAGATCGGTAGATCATCAGAATCACCGATAGACTTCGTGGTAATGGACACAGTGGCTGGTGATAAAAGTGGCGATACAAAAGTGCTGCAGAGTACAATATCACGGTTCGCTTGCCGCATCATAGCAGACCGTAACGACGTCAACAACTGCCGCATATACGCAGCCGGTTTTGACTCCTCCAGAAATATATTTTTAGGGGTAAGTGACCCGCAGTTTTACCGTAAAACGTGGTGGGCGCAAATTGTTTTGTATAAAATTCCAAAATATACTTGTTCTTAAACAAGCCTCGTTGGCCGAGTGGTCGCAAGTCGACTACCGGGCAAGGGGTCTCGGGTTCGATTCCCAGATCGGGCAAAATATTACTGGGTTTTAAAAAAAAACTCGGTAGTAGCACGGAGTCTGGAAATGTGCCCGGTATATGGCAATGGGCTCACTCCCTATTACATGGGACTCATAACATAAATAGTGAAAAGTAGGTTTTACTTCTGTGTGCACCTCTGCCAACCCCTTCAGGGATAAAAGGCGTGATGTTATGTTATGTCTTAAACAAGCTTTCCTGCAATGTCTGTCATTTTTGCGATAAACTCAAAAACTGCTAAACATTCTTTATGCAGATTTCACCAGTAGATGGTTCCTAGGATAACGTGAAAATTTATCAAAAACTAAACCATATTTTGCGTACATTTCATTACAAAATGTCTAAAATATAGGTAGTTCTTAAATAAATGGTTGTGTTATTTCTGCAGAACAAAACCGATTTCATTTCTTGTAAATAACGTCGATTGTTATGAAGCTCTTTTTATTTTATTTCAACGTAGGTGGACATGAGATACCTATGTCTTGTAGACATTTCGATATGATAAGGGTGGACATACAAAGGATGTTTTGTAACATGAGCAAGACACAAACAAGTCTGGTACCTTACTCAGCCATCATGTTCCATCCTTACTAATATTATCAATCGGAAAGTGCGTTTGTTTGTTTGTTTGTTTGTTTGTTCCGCCTTCACGCCGTAACTACTAAACCGATTGCTTTGAATTTTTACAGACGTAAAGTTAGAAGTCCGGATTAAATAATAGGGTACTTTTTATCCCGGAAAAGTGTGATATTCCCGAGGGAAAACAAAAGTATTAGTATAGATGGCGCTGTGTGTATTGGTATATGTCACATAGGCTACTTTTTATCCTTTTGTGACGCGAGCGAAGCCGCGGGTAAAAGCTAGTGTCTTTATAAACCTTATACAGTTATACAGTTCTAACGTCTCTTCGCCTCTGACGTCATCAAGCCGGCCGTGACGTACTAGCTTCACGTAAATGAACGACTAATGTCCATAATTTAGTCCCCATTTACTCGAGATGAGCCCCCACTTAGATTCAGCGATCTTTTAATGTTAGCCATTCACAAGTTTTCAAAGCAATTTTGCACTTTATTCGCATTCCCTGTCAGTTGTGAATGGAATTTTAAGACGAAAATCATTCAAATTTTTGCCATTACTACAGAAATCTACGTGGGTAGTGACGGTATTTTCTTATACGTATTTGAAATCGTATGAGGTAAACAGTGGAGTTTATATTAATTTGCAGCTAGGTAGAGTTGTACTATTAATAGATAAACTAGGAAAACGGCAGCTGCGTAATACCCACGCCTTAATATTGATCTGTGATCATTAATATTGTACGGTGGAAGTGCGTAGATCTGATATCTTAAAGCCGATAGGCTCTTTAATCAATAACTGCCCATCTCGAGCCACTTTTTTCATTGAAGCGTTATCAGTTTGCTCTTTTAAGAGGATATTTTTATAAGAGTTTTCCATTATTATTAAGAGCTCTTAGTTAATGTAACTTACTTAACTATGCTTGTTATGATTGAATTGATTTTGTACTATTCTTTCAGGACATAGTAGAGAGCTCCATAGTCCATACAAACAACTATGACGGTTGTTGTGGTTAAATATCAGATACTAAAATAATCGCAACTAAACGGATTCACTCCAATATTGATGACATGGTGACACCAGGAAATGACGAATGTGGACTACTTATTAGTCATTCCACATGTCTTCAGATAGTGATTGTACTATCCATAAACGAAATATTAATGAATCATTTAAAATTCCAGGAAAAAGCGACAAAATGGACAGAGAATCACGAAATAGATGGACTAACGACAAATGGTGTGTTGATCATGCATCCACGTGGTGACTTCTGTGGCGGTAGCGCCACCTGTGGGCCGTGGCGCGAGACTTCCGTCGGGGGCGCCGTGTTCTCGCTCAGGGAGAGCCGCTCTGCACAACAAAAGGTAACAGATTGAACCACATACAAAAATAAAAAATATAAAAAAAAACAATAAATATCCGGTGTTCAAAAATTTACATCTGGTTCTGTTTTTGTATATCAATGCAATGGAGTCAATTTTTATTTTAGTGGTTAGTTCCGGTCACTTCTGTTGTCAATGATGTCAGTGTTTAGTATGCTAAGACTGTTAGGTTTTTAATATACACTGTCTAAAACAGGTGTTCAAAATAATTGATACATAAAATTGACACCTGTTATCACAATAGGGGTCAATTTATTTCTTGACTCTACTGGTGACAATGACGTCACTGTGTAAAATGCAAAATCTCTAAAGAAAACTAATATTATTAACCTATTCGATGTCGGCGTAATTGGAATCATTATATTCCAATCTAGTTTCTGACTCGTCACCACAAAAAAGCCAACAGCTGGTCCCCAACACTGATTACAAAAAAACAGAGCAGATGTTTAATCGCGTGCCCATAGGGATACTCGAAGGAATGCACCTCAAATTCAATTAAATTAGAAACCTTTCAATTTTCACCCGTCATCAATAAAAAATTCCAAGAATCCGTTTGGAATTTAAAACACGCGTGAGAAACACTTGGGACATATTACTTTATGTATTTCTGTAACGTTTCAACTTACCGATATTTATTCTGTGGACGTGGCCATAAAGTTGAGTTTGTTTTTTTTTCAAGGGCCTGCCCTGTCAAGCCGAGACAAATGTCCTTAGAGATGGAACGATGATAGACTTATGTGGCGCTACTTTACTATGGAGGAGCGCTGAAGGACTTAAAAACTCACCGGTAAGTTTTTGACTAATATTTATGATTTTTTTTTTATTTATCCTGTTAAGTTACACTATTTATACCTCAAGAACGACTAAATCGATTTGGACGAAAATTGTTCGAGAGGTAGCTTAGAACCAGGAGACGGACATAGGATTTTAATCCAATATTTTGTTTTATTTTTTACGGAAAATCACGATCAGGAACGGGAAACACGCGTGTACCAAGTCGCGGACAGAAGCTAGTATAAATGCTAAAATATAAATGCGAAAGTTGGCATGTTTGTCTGTTTGTTTGTTTGTCACTCCTTCACGTCAAAACTGCTGAAGGGATCGGGATGAAATTTAGAACAGGGGTAGATTATGGTCTAGAACAGCACATAGAATTTTTATCCCACGAGAACACGGGCAATGCCGCTAGCAGAAACTAGTTACTTATAAATTATATTTATAACCCTGCTTGTTATAAAGTACATTAACACGTTAACCGCCGCGTAGGTCACCGGTGACCTACGTTAGCGGAGGATTTGCCTTCAGCAGTTTTCTGTCCGTAGTCAAACGCCTAAATAAATCTTAAGTAATATAAGATTATATAATATTGTTTTGTTTTTGCAATTATTTTTTATGCAAGTATGCTAATCTGTCGTTGTATAATATGACATCATTGCTATGCATAATAATTTAATTACATAATAATATCTGTTTCCGATATTTTAATAAATAATTCAGCAATTTACTTATTTTAAATCTACACATTTGTGCCCAAAAGTTTTTGTCTTTTACACATGGAGTGTTATTTCATTATGATGTAATTTTAGAAACCTACCATTATAATCTGATAGAACTTATCAATGATAAAAACTTAATAGATAAGACTTAGATAAACAATTCGCGGGATTATTAGCAATAATTCCAGATTTCGTGACGTAGACCATTTTTTAATAAGTACTATATTACTATGTGATATTATCTCTAATCGTTTATATTATATTTTGACTCAATGATAGTTTGATATGATCTCTATAGTCATTATAATGTGTTAATCAAAGACGTTGAAAAAGTCGGACGTAACGTCACTTGGAAAATGATTGTAGCACCAAAATGTCAGTAATGGGTCTCCCCAATCCCTGAATCCCCAACGATCCTCAAACTCCTAATCCCCAAAAGGCCGGTAACGCACTTGTAACGCCTCTAGTGTTCCAGGTGTGCATAGGCGACACAGATTGCTTACCATCGGTTGATCCGTCTGCTCGTTTACCGGCTTATGCCATAAAAAACCAGATTTAAGAAAATGACAGATGTCCTTCGTGTCAATGTGTGTGTGTGTTCTGCGTGTAAGTCTATAGTAGCCAGGTGCCACAGTCGTTGTTCCAAGAGACTGTGACTAGACTGTGACGGCCATTATTTCCAACGTCCTTGGATAACATAACAAAACATTTATTTATCCCCGAAGGGGTAGGCAGAGGTGCACATTATACCACTGTACAATGTAACACCCACTTTTCACTATTTAGGTTATAAGTCCCATGTAACAGGGGGTGACCCTATTGCCATATACCGGGCACAATTCCAGACTCCGTGCTACTACTGAGATTTAAAAAAAATCTAAGTATAAATACAACCCCTTGCCCGGCAGTCGCACTTGCAACCACTCGGCCAACGAGACAGTCCTTGAATACTACATCACTATATGACGTTATCTCGAATCGATTGATTTATTTTGACTCATGATTTGTCTACCTTTGAATTCTGAATTGTATTAAGTTGATAGTTTGATATGATCTATATAGTCATCATAATGTGAAAATGATGATAAAATATGTGTTGGATATACCTAATGACTAAGAATAATCTCTTTGAATTTCCCAAATTATTCAGCCGTTTATCTGATTATCAGCTGACGAATCATAATGATTCAGTGTGACAATTTGTGTCTATTCATTGATTAACTGTTTATGTTGATATTCAATATGAAAGGTTATTGCTTAGGAATAGTAGGGCGAATTCTTTACAAACCACTCATTTCTATGTAATTGTGGACCTGAAAACTGCTTCGACTGTCTTCACGGTGGAGTGGTCGCTAGTGCAACTGCTGAACAAGGGGCACAGTCATAATCACAAAGAATAGTGTAGATTCCTAATTTTTATTTTGATGCCCGTCTGGTAGATTATTTTAAATCATTAGACACCTATTTTTTATTTTCTTACAGAAACTAATACTTTCGACTATATATTGATTTGAAATGTCGCGTGACGTCACTTGTATGTACATTTTATACGTAGAAATGACGTTTTAGCCCCCACTCCTAAACTTTGATTGGTTTTATTATACGACAAAATAAACGGACTAATCATATTTTTAATTTCCATAGCCTGTCATCATCCCAATTCCAAACGCAATATCGACATACGTTCGTGACATACACGACAATTTTTGAATAATCGAATAAACTAGTATTTTTTTCGTTCTGAGAATTCTACTTAGAAAACTGTCCGACTGACAGTGCCTAAATCAAATCAGTATTTTTAAATTTAGCAAAATACCTATACCAAGTAAAATAGTTTTATGCAACAGGTTCTCGTTTTCCATGTAAACATAATATGGCGTCATAATTTGCTATTTTAAACACACCTCATAATTTATATTAAACTGTCAAATACCAAGCGGTCACCGGTGACCGCGACCCATTGTTCTTTAATTGTGTCTATAAAACCGGTACTCGACGAGTTAAATGTCCGTTTGTGACATAAGTGACATTTAGAACCAGTGTCGAATTTTAATATTATTTGGTATGTTTATTATTCCTCTATACTTCTCTTTATAAATAAGTCAAGTCGATCGGAAGTCTGTTTTTTTATTGTGTCATAGATTGTTCGTTGCTCGATCTTCTCTATAAGAATCTACATTTTGGGACGAGCAAATAGCTTTATGAAAGTACCTAAAGACCAATATTTTTCTTATATGACATTCAAAAGTTACCCTTGTAGTTAATAATTTTAGGTCTAATCAATAACCCCTCAGCGTCCTTATGAGCACCCGGTGGATCATAAGAAAAAATGCTCCATGCTGCTTTCTCTTTTATAAAATCTATTATTAATGTTTTGTTTTTATTTTGACTGTATTTGTTTTATTTCTATTGTAATGATCCTTGTTTTCGTGTGCCAATGGCCAAATAAATGCATTTTCTTGCATGCATAAGGATAAGGAAATGCATAAGGAACGCGGCCGCTCGACGGGTTAATTCATATTACTTTTTTATCTTCCTCAGACAAAACGCGATCTCGAAGCATTAGTGGACGAGCTGAACGCGGGCCGACCGCAGTGTCCCGTTGGACTGAACACGCTTGTCATACCACGCAAGCTGTCCACCGCACACCAGGACCTGAACCAGCCTTACGTATACCTCAACTGCGGACATGTACAGGGTAAGCTAACAAAAACCTATTAGCCTCATTAAGTAATTCTAAGTCCACGTTTGTGAACACAATAGTAGTCTCTGAACATCGGAAATAAGGTTTATAATCGAATAAGCGAAGAGAGGTATTTAGAAAACTCTCGGGGATTTAGAAGTGGTTACGGCATAGAATACATTTTATAACTTCCTCTATTCTTCCCACAAGTGTTTTGAAATCGAAGGTCTGTCCTAAAATTAAAGCGGGAGAGAACTACAAAACACTCACTACTCGATTAAAATTGTAGCGTAGAGCGAACTGGACTTTAAAGATAGGACAGCAGCGATGTTTGATCGGAGTTGTTTTCGGCATTTCTTTTCGGAATAGTCATTTAGCAAAAGGCGGACTCACATGGTTCTTTTAAAAAAAAAATGACGTGTAGAGGTGTTGCCTTGTGGCCTATTAGCTGAAATAAATTCACATGTTTCCCTTGTTTGATAAATATTATCCTTTTAATTTATGATCGCCAACCCGCCTACCGAGCGCGGAGATTATAGCAAAAACCGCTTTTATAAAGCTCATCCATAGTCCATTAGTAAAACCCTTACGGACTGTTTTCTTCGCAGTTTGTCTCTCATGTGAATGCAGAATTACAAGGAAATAAAGTTGTTGGGAAAATATCCCGAGCAAAAAACAATGTCAAAAACCCCATTCAAAAAGTGTTTTGTTTCCATTCTTGCTTATCTATAAACCCCGTTTAATGATATCGACATGAATCGATAACAAAATGGACACAATAGAGATTGCTCAGACAATAGATAATTACTGTAGTACATTAGGTGTATTATTACTTGCCCTATAAAGGCTTCTACGGCGTTATAATATAAAGAATAAGACAAAGTTCAATGCATTTTGAAATGATGAACGAGGAAGAAATTGGGAATAACAATAATACAATCTTTATATGGATTTTTGAGCGTGCTATTTTATCCCCTGCCAAGGGTGGAGGTTATGATATGGTAATAACCAATGTTGGGAATGGGTCTCTTAAATAATAGTGGACTGTATTTAAACTGGTATATTGGAATTAAAGCGGTAAGCTTGTGTTGTGTCCGCGTCGTCCGCGAACGATCCCAAAAGAAAAAAAAGGGTAGAGGTTATGATATGGTAACGTCCTCTTTTGTAGGGGCCCGTAGTCTAGCTGTTGACTCTGATGGGTTGTTGTTGAAGACTGTTTCTGTGCTTTAGGAGCACGTTTACTGGTCCGGTTATCTGGAAATATAATTGGTCAAATACTCAAATGCCACTCAATTTTAGGACGCACTCAAGAAACTAGACTTCTGAACAGAAACCGAAGTATTTCTGTCACTTCAACTTTACTCAATATATCTGTCATTCTTTGTAAAATGACAGATATATTGAGTAGAATTTTAGTATTCGGACGTTAGTCTCATAAATCTAGCGGTGGGTCTGGGTTTGCCTAGTTAATTCAAATATGAATGTATGTGTGACTGCCACGATGGCTGAGTGGTCGCAAGTGCGACTGCCGGGAAGGGGTCTCGGGTTCGATTCCCGGGTCGGGCAAAGTATTACTGGGTTTTTAAAAAAAAACTCAGTAGTAGCACGGAGTCTAGAAATGTGCCCGGTATATGGCAATAGGCTCACCCCCTATATTACATGGCACTCATAACATAAACAGTGAAAAGTGGATGTTACTTCTGTGTGTGTGCACCTCTGCCTATCTCTTCGGGGTATAAGGCGTGATGTTGTGTTATGTTGTGAATGTATGTATACTGAGGGGACTGGAATAAATAACAGTCAAATCTGGTTAAAACTGGTAAAAACCCAATGGCAAACTAGTTGCTAAATGTCCAGGAAAAATGCTGTGTGATTAATTTGACTAAATTAATTCAAATAATGGTATCAAATGCAGTTTCTCAGAAATAGTGTGTGTAGTGTATATATTAGTGTACATATTTATTATTTACAATAGGTTTAAATTAAAAGTAGGTATAAAGTGATGTTATTTTATTATGTGAATAAAACAAATAAATTAATAGGAAATTTAAATAAACGAGATAAAAAGATAAGGTAAGAACATATTGTTTTCGTGAATCGCGTTTGTTAGGGAAAATATTTGTTATGTTTTTTGTCAATAAGTTGGCACTGATAACCTAGTTTTTTGTCATAATATTTTAAACGAGCATGCATGAAGAGTGTGATGAGTGTAGATTAGTCGAAAGAGATATAGGTATCGTATTCTGCGTGTATTTTTTCTTTAACTTGGCTCTACACCATAATACCGTAGGGTAGGCGGTAGGTAGTTCATTTTAAAACATTAGACACGTATTATTTTCTTACGAAAACAAAAACTTTCGACGTTATATTGATTTGAAATATCGCGTGACGTCACTTCTAGGTAAATTTTTTTTTCTTTACCTGACGGAGTAAATTGATTTTTAATTTTCATCGTCATAAACCGTTCAGTTTAAACTGTGAAACACCAAGCGGTCACCGGTGACCGCGACGTATTGTTCTTTAATTGTGTCTATAAAACCGGTACTCGACGAGTTAAAGATTTTCTATTCTGCCTACCATAATGTAGGCCGGGCGTAACGATGTATGTCTAAAGTCATATTGTCATAACTATGTGACTAAGGACCTGTCCGTAATTAGTTGAATAAGTGGGTGTTTAACAACATTAGGAAAACCCATTTGTAATTTGTATTAGCCAACTTATTATCGCGAAGCACTAAAATAGGAATAATTCAAAGAAATACGATAATAATGTTTCGGTGTTCCTATTTAACTTTTGGACATGACCAAATAGTCGGCAGGGTCGCGGTTGGTAATCCATAGGAAATTAAAATATGTAAAACAAATGACATGTTGGTTGCTTATGGGTTGACGTGCTCCATCGTAGGCCACATCATCGCTTACCACCAGGCGAGATAGTGGTCAAACGTCAGTCCCATTTAATATAAAAAAAGAAAAGTCAAATTCTTCATTATTCTATTGTAATAATGTATGATAGTTATTTTAAACATTGCAACAAAGACTTCTCTCAGGTTGATGTGTTTAACTGCACAAAACCTAGCTTTAAAGCCCAAGTTAAAAATATTATAATTGATAAAGGCAAATAGCAAGCAACATTGTTCCATTCACCATAAAGCATTTACTATGTTAATTCATATTTTAATTAAATTAATATTATTATCTCTCTTTCATAACAAGTAGTATATTTAACTTTCAATTCTATATTAAAACTTTATTTTTAAATATTGTTTAAAGTCCGTTCGCATGGTAAATACAAATTAAGTTAAGAAGGGAAACCTATTATTAGCCTTACTAAACTGTAATATCTTTATTTTGTATTATATCATAATGTATCGCTGTTGGTTTTCTAAATAAATAAATAAATAAATTGCGATGTGCGACATTTTTATGGGATACGGCGGTATACGAGCCGACGTATCATTATCACCTGATGGTAAGCAATCGCTGTCGTCACTCATGACCATCACCTGCAACCCAGATAGTTCGATAACTCCAGAAGAGAAGTTAACAATACATTGACTGCACGGTTGGCGCGGTGGGTGGGCAACTGGCTGCCGCGCTACGTGTCGCAGTTTCGATTCCCGCACGGAACAACTCTTTGTCTGATCCACAGATTGTTGTTCCGGGTCTAGGTGTCATGTGTATGAGAACATGAGAAAAAACGAGTGTGGGGCAACGCATTTAAAAAAAAAACAATAAAAAAAATTTACGGCCTTTTGAGGATTTGGGGATTGAGCACGGGTTTTTATTATTCAAGAGTAATATGGGCTGCGTTTTATGCCTTTATTCTACGAGTGTAACACCAAAAGATAATGCAGATACGTAGAAACACAAAAGGAAATAACGCATCGTCATCAAAACACTACTAAATTCACTATCTTACATATAAACAGATTAGTACAATATTCTAATTTGATAAGCAACAATTGAAGTACCTAGTGAATAATACATCATTTATTTAGCACAAAGCACTTGAAACTTTATGTACAAAGTAATGACTTTCATTTTCTATTGCCACGTGTAATGTGATGTAATGTCTGTATACTGTATTTACATAAATTAATTGTTTAGATTTAGAAAAACAATAGCTACAGAATTGTGTGCATTATTATTTATTGTTCTATGTACAGTATGCCAGCACATTAACCTAACCACATGTGCCAATTTTTCTCATTCGATTTTCGACTTTATATTTAAATGATGGGGTTGAAAATCTATTAAACGAATTTGATAGAAAAGAGTAGGATGATCTGCTGCCTACTGCATACAGTTACACACACATCCATACGCCGTTTCATTCTACTTTTGAATGGTGTTAGGGAAATGACGATGCTGGTAACTTTGTCATGCTGGGGAGTAAAGAAGGAATGATATGAAAAATATTTTTTATTTTCTTTTCCGGTCCTCTAAGATGGATGCAAATGGTCTGACTTAGAGATTTAAAAATAGAAGGAGTATAAGGGAGAACGGCAAAAATGTATGACATCAACCTCAAGTAATTTGTGATGTTAGGAGAAAGAACGAACATTTTTTTTTATTTATTTTTTTCCTGCAACATAAAAAAAATATTATGGTAAGAATGCCAAAAATTATCATGGCATTCTGACTAGATAATCAATATAAAGCCATGACAGATAGCCATGATTTTTAATCTTGCAATGTTTTTTATTCTACAGGCGAACATTCGTGGGGTGCAGAAGGTAGCGAGTCAGGATCTCGACGTTGCCCCATGTGTCTGACAGCTGGCTCTGTAGTGCGCGTCTGCATGGGAATCGAACCTGCTTTCTACGTGGACGCCGGCCCGCCAACCTACGCATTCAACCCCTGCGGACACATGGCCTCCGAGAGGACCGTCAAGTTAGTATTTATTTGCAATTTTCATTCATTAGGCTCCTCTACATAGGCCTCCGCCAATTTACAGCTGTAGACTTCTTGTGATGATTATTAATTTGAAATATTTAAAAATGTATTATTGGTCAACCTTTTAATGTTATTCCAATTCCTATTTTAATAGCAGTACATTTGTTTCGATAGAAAGTCATAAATAACCGTAAAAGACTTACGGCGAAAATTATCAAACAGCATAATAATTTGCAAAAGAAAATTAGAACCTAGATCTTATTTATACCTTTTTTCACTCTTCTCCTTTACTTTAAATAAATAATAACTTGTACATTGTATTCTCAGATACTGGGCTAGCGTGGACATTCCCCACGGTACAAACGGTTTCCACGCGATCTGCCCGTTCTGCGCGGCGCCGCTGCAGGGCTCGCCCGGGTACGTGCGCCTCATCTTCCAGGACAACCTCGACTGAATCTCGATACACCCGCACAGGTAAATAAACATTATATAGCTTATTTTGTAGATAGATTGAATGTGTTGTCAACGATACAATTTTTCTAAGCGTTTAATATAATGGCACTCTATTTTGTTATACGGCAAATGTAATAATGCCGTATGCCGTTATGCGTAGGTACCTCTGCCTACCTCTTCGGGGATAAAAAAGCGTATTGTTATGTTATGCCTATGTTCATCAGTGGACATATTGGCGTGTATGATGATAATGAAGTAAATAATGGCGATTTATAAAATAAATGAAGTCGTAACCTATGAATTACATTTTGGATAATAAAATTTTATAATGAATTATGAAATCTAGGATAAAAACTTGAAAATAGGTAACTGCTATGATCTCATGATAAAAAACAATACAGTTAATAATTTCTTTGTTAGACTAGTAGTAATTTAGTTATGTTATTGAGCGATAACTCTTCTCTAGAAATAAATTACTACATTAACAACTTCATACACGTAAACATTCAAGAACAAAACAAATTGTAAATGAACTTAATTAAATATGTATAAAGGTTGTATGCATACAAACGGAAACACATTATACACATTAATTGAAAACATTTTCCTACCAGATTGAACAACAGGTTTTAGATAAAATAGTAGTACAAGAATGCCTCGTTGGCCAAATGGTCACAAGTGCGACTGCAATGGGTCTCTCGTTCGATTCCCGAGTTGGGCAAAGTATTACTAGATTTTTAAAAGAATCTCAGTAATATCATGTAATCTGGAATTGTGCCCGATATATGTCAACAGGCTCACCCCCTATTACATGGGACTCATAACATAAATAGTGAAAAGTGGGTGTTACTTTGTACAGTGGCATTAAGTGCCGTAATGTGCACACCTCTGCCACCCCTTCGGGGATAAAAGGGGTGATGTTATGTTATGTTTAGTAGTACCTACGATACAAGTTTCTATATCTGATTGAAAACTTATTTATGAAGGTAATAACAAATTCATTCTGTCCTTTGCAGGTCGCCAGCGGCAATTTGACGTGTGCGTACAAAATGCATGAAGAGACGTGTTACATGAAAATGACGGCCAGCCCGAGCTCATGGCGACCCTCGCGACGTGAGGGACCTGCATGACTTATATACTGGCTTACACAGTGCGAACATATTCCCACACTGTGGCTTCACCTACTACTACCAACGCAATGTCATCGACTACACCCCTAGAAAATATACTTATTTATAATATTTCCTGACCATCAACCTGTTTATTTATACTAATCTCCCAATTAAATGTCTTTAGCATCGAATATTATCTATGAATTGCATTAAAATATATTTAAATGTACACAAAATAATGTTACTTTCATGTTTCGGTGTCTATGTTAACTTGATGTTCATCGTTGATTTGCGATAACCTATTAATATTTAGTTGTTGAACACAACATGTAAGATATGTTAAGGCGATGAGAAAATTCAGGAAATAACAAAAATATTTAAAGCTTTGTACATTGCGTGCTGATTTTATTGCTAGAATTAATGATTGTTGTAATTATGAATGAACTGAATTATTTAATGAATAGAGGTTTCGTTCGAAACTTATCTAGATTATGATAATTTTGATTGCACAGGCTTCTCAATATTTTATGGATCCACCTATGCTTTTTATTCGGTACTACACTATCAGACAAGGTCAGACGCCATGTTTTCTGACAGTTTGCTGTTATTTATCGGATCACGTCGGTAGTGTAGTGCCTGCCCTATTATTGTAAGGTAATCCAATGTAAATATTCTATGTACGTTTATTTCTATACTTGTAGTTAAGTAACTATGTTGGTTTTTCCGTAGCGTGTGAGACAGTCGATAGTTAAGTACGAGCCAGCCTTTAGCAGTAGCACATAGACACTACTAACGTTAGCTTCAAACAATAAGTTGGTATATGTTTAATAAGGTACATTATACTTTCAATATGGTCTCATTTCTTGACATTCGACATATTGGGATATATTTAAAGATACATATACAAATAAATAGAACGTAAGCAGTTATTTTTTCATTTCTATAATCATCAAGTATTGTAAGGAAACATTGGATTGTTATATTTAGAGAGGATTTGTATTTGAGTGAAGTATTCTATGTTTGTATGGCTGTTATGTCTCAATATTTAGAGGTCAATGTCGCCGATGTTGATTGATGTTACATGCTGTGAATATTGGTGTAGTCATAGGCAGATATGTGTCGACGAAAGTGCAAAGATGGCTAAACACTATGATTAACTTAGTATTTGGCGATCGGATATTTATATTGGTTAATTTCGCAGTTGACTACACAACTTTGCGAAGACTGAGGCCTTAGGCAGGTGACGCATTGTATAGCATTGTGAGAAAAAAATCAGTCACGAAAATACTTGAATGTGACTCAATTTCAAGGTTTCATTTAGTAATTGTCGCTGACTGTGAGATGAGTGCATCATACAGTTGAGTAACATTTGAGTATTTCGAGTAGTTACAACTTAACAAAATACAAGCAATTTGATGCGTCACCTGTTTTACCTCTAAACATCAGTTCCTAGAAATTGTGTATTGGACGTTGTTACAATCCATAATGCAAATTATTGTTATTAACGTCTAGTAAAGGTCTCAATGCAAAAGATGCAATCGCTTGCTCGAATGCGATCTCAAGATATGAAAAAACAGAAGCTTTACAATAAGCAAAACATTATAATAAGTCCATCATACATGAGAGTGTAAAAATAATGTAAGTTTTATAGAAGTAGCGAACATTAGCTTACGGAGTATGAAAATTTAGTTTTTGTACAATTCACTAGTTAGGGGTTACACATAACATATTGCCTTCAAGTGATAAATAACAAGACAGGATACATAACTGAATGTGTTGTTCCGACTAACATGTGTACTACATACAAAATGCAAGTGGATTGCACGTCATTGTTTAGTATATTAATGTAAGATTTTGGTAAAGAAGAATGCTTATTTAAAGAGTCGATATAATGTAGTCGTTTAAATCAGCGTAGTATGTTCTCAGCCATTAAAGAATGATGATTTTGAATTAATTTTATTAGTGTGGTTGCATGATTAAGAAGCTACGGAATACTGGACCATACATAAACTTGAAGCGATGGTAATGTCTGTGTTATTATAATGTTGCGTTTTTGATTAAGAATTTGAATTAATTAGCATTATTTTCGTTAGGGTGATGATGTTATGTGAAGAATGTAGTCAGTCACGCTTTTATGTCGACTAATCGTCGCGGCATATTAAAGTCGTGGGCAGCGAAAACGCAAATGTTGATTAACGAGTAATTTCAAATTGTTTGAAGAAGCAAGTATAGATTTGACAAGTAATTGATGCCACATACACATTTTCCATCAATAATCTGAGTATACTAGATAAAATACACAGTAAAGATGTCGATTACTCAAAAAATCTACACTAAAAAAGCTCAATAATAATAACGGTACAATGAATTCGACACGACTTTAGTTTGGCGCGGACGATCAATTAACTTGAAAAACATTAGTGGTCATAAGAACTGAATGCTAGCCTTAATTTTATTTATAATGTGTACCTAAAGTACTAGGGCTAACAATAAATCGCTCTTTTAGTTAGAAAATTTATATTTTGTTTCATTTGTATTTGCCTCTGCCTTCTAGATGCAGGAAATTCCGTGTGGAAATTTCTTACAAATTAATTAACCCCATTAGGCCATTATAAACTTGTCCAACGAGTGAAATAATTTACATTGATAAAGCAATTATTGTTTATTAATTGAGTGCAGCAATTAATCATTTGATTGCTACTTGAACTAGTAAAGTAAGTGCAATTATAACCGTAATAACGGTTGTGGAACAAACACGCACACACATACACAAAATTGAAAATAAAAAACCTGTGTGTGAAATTCTTTCATGATGAATGTAATAGGTACATGAACTTGACTAATGTGCATACTGCAACTTAGACTTAAATGCAACAATAAAAAAATTAAATAACAAAAATAAAAACTTAAATATATTTCTCTTGAAACAAGGTACTGAAATCCAAAAATAAAAATAAGTACAGTCTGCAGTAATCTTTACGGTCTTTCTCAACTTAGAGACAAGTTTTAAGTTTACAAATAATAAATTGTACTTTAATCTATTGCAAATTAAGTTTGGTAGTCACTAGAACTCTAACACACTGGTCGTAGGCAGTAGCGACCGCTAATCCAAGATGGTCGCGATTCCATTCCCAAGCGTTTATAGGTTGTGAGCTGACGACCATACGCTGAAGACGTTCAATTTCCCTGGCACACCACTGGATACTCCTTGGTGGTCTACATGGTATCTGTGTTCAGGATATTCACTGCAAAGAAGAGGAAATTGAATAAATACTGAATGTGGAACAACCTATTTAAAATTGCACCCGATGATATGTCTCATGAATGCACAAAAAGGATACAGAAGAGGAAGTTCGGCAATTAATTTTCAACCTTATGCTTTTCTAATGAATTTGGAAATCTAAGTATAGGGGTAACCAATTAAATATACAGTTCGGGGCCCGTGGCAATTAAGAATAAAAAAAATACAGAAGTTCAGATCAGAAAACATCTGAATGGCGTCGTCCTCTTCCAGCTAGGGGCCGTGGCATTTTGCCAACCTGCCAGTCCTGCCACCCTGTAGTTACGCCACTGTTAGCAACCGATTTCTGTAGTTAAGGTTTCGGCACACAGAGGGCGCGGCGCGTCAGGACGGCGACGCGACGCTGAGCAATTGACGCAATTGTAATGTACTAGATATTACGGACAACGCTACACAGAGCCGTCCCGCTCGACGTGACGGGAACCGACGGCTGTGTGCAGAGACCTTTATAATAGCGGAGACCTTTATTCTGCCAAGAATGCGAGGATGAAATAAAATAGGAGTGGTACCTAGTTACATTGCCATAAACTAATGAATTGTCCACTTACTATTTCCACAAAGAAACTTGACCATTGCCAGCACATGAGATAAATATGTCTCGATTTTGGGGTACATGGCGCGCCACCCATATCGTACCACTTTTCGCGTCATTATTTAACACCTAAAATAAATTGACATTTCAACTTAGCATCAAAAATTAATCTTTATGTTATTAAGACGGCTTGAACAGATAAGACTTACTTGAGCAAAACCTTTCGTAGGATTTTGTGTTCTAACATCAAAAACATGGAACTTTCCTTCTAAAGTAGTTGCAACCAGTTTATTCATAGGAATATCTTTGCGATCAAATTCAGTTGAGCATACCTGGAAAGAGTAGGTAAGAATTAAGAGAGAATTTATTTGCTGTACCTTCATGACAATAAATACAATACATAATTCTAATATTGTTCGACTGCTTCGTTGGCCGAGTGGTCGCAAGTACGACTGCCGGGCAAGGGGTCTCGGGTTCGATTCTCGGGTCGGGCAAAGTATTACTGGGTTTTAAAAAAATCTCAATAGTAGCACGCAGGCTGGAATTGTGCCCGGTATATGGCAATAGCCTCACCCCCTATTACATGGGACTCATAAGCATAACATAAATAGTGAAAAGTGGGTGTTACATTGTACAGTGGCATAATGTGCACCTCTGCCTACCCCTCCAGGTATAAAAGGCGTGATGTTATGTTGTGGCGACGCATGCCACATGTCAACGGATGACGTCACGGGAGTCCTGCATCGCACATGCAAAGTTTACAAGCGAATAAACACGGATAGAAAATCCCAACGAACAACTGTTGGGCAGAAAGCCCGCCAGGCACGATCACCTCGCCTGGTCGGAGGATCCTCCTTTTCCGATCTTAGGGAACTTTACTCTCTGTTCCCTAAACTGGTGACCCCGACGTGATTGGAAGCAACCTTCACTTCACGGAGTAGATCAGCATCATCCGTATCGTCATCCCTCTCATTCATCATTTCTCCGCTGAGCGGTAATCAAGTCGCAGCCAACCAGCATCCTCGGCCTCATCAGGGACCACCATCGCCTGCAACGAAGTCGTGCAGCCTGGTTCTTCCCTACGGCCTCACCAGCGTCTAGGCACAGCACTTTTCTGCACACGGTTCTGAAGGACACCTCCTCCCGTCAACGCAGATGCCGGCCACTACGCACCTACCCTCGCAGCATCTCTTCCCCGACTCACCGTGGGACACTGCGAAACTCATCTCTCCGACTCACTGGAGTTTCACTGCACCGCTGACCCGACTCACTGGGCACTCAGCGGCACGGTTCGACCCACTGGAACTAGGGACGTTCTACACTGGCTCTGGCGCCATCTCTCAAGCATCGACAGCCGTCTCAGCGGGATCGACCTCCGGTCTTAGGAGGGAGTGATGTGGCGACGCATGCCACATGTCAACGGATGACGTCACGGGAGTCCTGCATCGCACATGCAAAGTTTACAAGCGAATAAACACGGATAGAAAATCCCAACGAACAACTGTTGGGCAGAAAGCCCGCCAGGCACGATCACCTCGCCTGGTCGGAGGATCCTCCTTTTCCGATCTTAGGGAACTATACTCTCTGTTCCCTACAATGTAATGTGATTCTAATGATAATAGACACATACCTACTGTTCTGAAGTTTAAAATTGTTAAAAAAGAATACATACTCCATTTTTCAAATTACATTCCCAGCGAAGAGACATGGTCCTTAAATCAAACATCTTAAGGTCTCCATTGTCATAACCAGCAACTACGATCCTCTCCGCATCATTGAAGGAGTTACCAAAGGAGACCGCCCAGCAGTCACGCTTTGATTCCCCTTTAACTGGTTGCATATTTGCTACTGGCTTCCCTCTTTGGCGAGGGTCCCATACTTTTACTGTACCTGAAATTAGATGGACTTTAATGTTATGTCCACATCTTAAAGATCAAAGTTCTGTGATCATCGGCACTAGCCAAAAATATTCATGTTGTTGGACAAAGGTTCCCGCACGGAACAACTCTTTGTGTGATCCACAGATTGTTGTTCCGGGTCTGGATGTCATGTATATGTGATATTGTATGTTTGTAAATGCACTCATGATACCGGAGAAAATCCTAGTGTGGGCCAAAGTTTTATAAAAAAAAGGTCTTGAACCTTTGATTGACAATGAATAAATCGTTTTTTTATTCATAGTTCTACAATAAATGTGAAGATGGAGGTTTTTAAATTATCAGTTCGCTTTAATTGTTCTTGATATTTAATACTAGGTATGTGTTTGTTTCTATGACAACACTGGTAATGTGGTTGTGTGTACTTCTTAGTGCTGCACTAAGTGATGTAGTGTTGAGATATAGTTACCATCACGACTGCCAGTAACAATTTCAGGGGCACCACAGTTATTGACATTCCCGCCCATTCCATCAATAGAATTTATAATATCTGTGTGCTCCTTTGTAATATACATTTGGCAACTTTTTTCCAGATCCCTGTATGATAAAAATAATAATGAGGCACAGGAAGTATAATAAGTACACTGTTATTACATTTTTATTAGCTTACCATATTTCTAAAGTGCCTTTGAAATCACCAGTTGCTAATCTTCTTTCAACATCATTGCTTGCGCCAAACGTTCCACATTTAAAAGAGTTTGGCCTCTCTATCTCCTTTATCTTCCGGATTTCACCAGACGTGATTTCATACACTTCTAATGTACCAGTTCCTTTTGGCAAAGAACCGATAACAACAAACTTTGCTGAACAAGGAATCCATTTGCAGTCGAATATGGAATGGTTAATATTATGTTCAATATGTGTAATTACTTGGGGAGTATCTAATTCTTCCATATTTTCCTATGATAACCGATTAATCAAATCTTTATAATCTTCTAAGAATATTGAGAACTTTTTAACCTTATATGATCGAATAAACAATTTCTGTTGCTATGGCAACAGGTGACAGTTTGACTTCCTTCATTTAGCTTTATACTCAGCCAGTAGCATTTTGCCTCTAATTTATTTCAATATTTTGAATACAAGTAATTATTTATTTATTATTATAATAGGCATGTATATTCATTTGATTTTAATCTAATTTGATTCTAAAAATGTTCTAATGGTGATTATTTATTGTCTATGGTTGTAATAAATAATAATCTGTAAATCGTATCGTGAGAGTGTGTGTGTCAATTTGTTGACGGTTGTCTATTATCAAAATGCCCAAAATGGACGAAAGTGCGTGAGGTTTTGTTTGGTAATAGTGTTACTACCAAAAAATCGTATCAAAACTTTAAATTGCAAAAACTATTAATAAATTAGTTCGAAAAGTAATTCTAACAAGATGGGCGACAAAAAGTACAAACAGAGTGTAAGTTTTATTCACCAATGCTTGTAAAACAGTTTAAAACACTGCGTATGAATATGTGATTCACAAATAGTATTTTTTTTTCAGAAAGCAGAAATAGCGAAGCAGTTTAACCTACCAGAGCGGCAATCTAAGATTACGACATTGTTAAATCAAGCCGGACAAGCTTATTGCATATGTCGATCTTCCGATAGTTCTAGGTTTATGATGTGAGTTGTTATACTGATTTCTATTCCTATTAATTATTTTGTATATTACTTAAATATAGGGGCTGCATCGACGGTGAAGTAACAAGTTCTACTAACTGATACTTTGTAATGTTTTACTTAAAAATATGATGTATCTTTATAATGCAGTCTAACAATTTGTACTTACCTTATATTTGGCTAATTTACGGATCGAAAGTTTAAAACAATGCAAAGGATATTCGTTTTAAACTGTCAAACACCAGTAAGTTAAGGGGTCTAGATTTCGATTCCCGTGTCGGGCAAAGTATCACTGGGTTTTGAAAAAACATCTCAGTGCTAGCACAGAGTCTGGAATTGTGCCCGGTATATAGCTCACACTCAATTCACTCACTCCCTATTGCATGGGTCTCATAACATAAATGGAGAAAAGGGGGTGTTACATGGTACAGTGGCATTAAGTGCCATAATGTGCACCTTTGTGTATCTCTTCGGGGATAAAAGCCATGATGTTATATTAAAATTGTTTGATTGTTATAAAATTAAGTTTAGTCATCAATTCGATAATGCTTGTTACCATCATTGTTATTTTCATTGATAACTTATAAAATTCAATGTAATTTAACTCATTTTAGAGCTTGCGACTCATGCGAGGAGTGGTACCATGGAGATTGTATCAATATATCAGAGAGAGAAGCTAAATACATCAAAAACTACTTCTGTGATCGCTGCAGAGAAGAAGATCCTACCCTTAAGACCAGGTTCAGACCACAGAAGAGGGAGAATGATGGAGATGTCGGTGAGTTGATGTTATTTGTGATGTTGGAAGTCATATAATAGGCTCACCCCCTATTACATGGAACTCATAACAAATAGTGAAAAGTGTGTGTTACATTGTACAGTGTGCACAGTAGCATTAAGTGGCACAAGATGTTATGTTTTATCTTGAATTAATTCAGTAATACATTCTCAATTAAATAACCATTCTGTTAATGAAAATTGTACATTATTTTATCCAGTATCTATTCTTTTAAAATCGAGTACAACCATTATACTTAAGAAGGTAGGAAATTATCTGATAGAAGCCTGTATGATTGTAATCATAGAAATAATAAAATATAGTAATAGTGCATACAGGGATAGTCGCCATTTTGTGACCCATAGCATTTAGATCAAAGTTGACTAAAAGGCCTCTGCGCAGTTGGCTTCGGCCCCTCATACGCTTCCTAAATGACCGGGACCCTGTGGTCCCGTGATTGGTAAAGAGATATGGTAACAAAGTAACAAATGTTCCTTACATATTTATAACTTTACGCAATTGGCTGTAATTTAATAAATAATGTATGTTTCATTAAAAATTTCCCTACTTTCAGAACTCTTATTTATTGTTTAATTGTATAAAAAGGAAATGTGTTATCTGCTGCAAGTACAATTATATCTGTAGAATTCTAGACTTTTTTTAATAGCAGTAAACAGTCAAAAACTTACTGTATAAATAAAAGAATAAAAGTAACATAACTAATAATTCCCTCTATTTTGAGACTAACCTATAAATAAAATTATAACTCAAGTATTTTTGATACAGCTCCTCGAGAAGACAGAAAGAAGAAGAAGAAAGAGAAAGATCACTCTGAGAATAAGTCTTCGAAGAGACAGAGCAATAAAGATGGTTGCGGAGACTGCCCAGGATGTCTGCAGATTAATGATTGTGGACAGTGAGTATCATTTTACCACAGTCTATATTAATATGACCAGTTATTTATTGAGACTTGTAGTTTGCTCTAATACTTGCCGCGTCTTTTCGCCATCGTCCCACACGTTTTCATCCCCATCATATAGTTAGATGGTTGGCAACTGTGCGCTTTTCTTGGAACTTTCTGCCTCGCACAGCTAAACTGTGATGTGGTGCGTCTGTAAGATCAACCCGGCTCACGGTAACAAGCAGGGGAGTTAGACCATGGTTTTAACCGGTAAGAGGCTGATACGCCCCCCGTCGTCCCCACGACATGGGAAGTCCATGCGGATATCCATCGCGATAGAAAAAAAGGTTTAACACTGTAAAACATGTATTGTGTAATTGTATAGATACACACAATGCAATTAAAGTTTTCTTTATTTAAATGTTCGTCTTGTAGATACATTTAAAACATTAAACACGTATTTTTTCTTTTGTTACAATTTTTTTATATGTATTAATTTGATATATCGTGTGACGTCACATTGTGCTACATTTTGTACCTCGTTGTAACATAACGACCTCCCACTCCTAACCTTAACGCCATTTTATCTAAGGATTGTAACTAAATAAAAAAAATACGTGCCTAATATTTTTTCGTTATCTAACTGACGTCCTAAGTACATTTTTAATTTTCTTACCCTGGCAACTACCCTATTGAATGGGTAACAAAATTCGATGTTAGCAACTGTTCTTTACTTAAAAATCGTCATCAGTTGTTTTATTTATAAACACAATGCACTAATTAAATCATTATCACTTTCATAATTAATTTAACAAACTCCAATAGTCCCATGTCCTACGAAACCAAGCAGGTTTTATGACATAAGAGTTCAATGTCAAATATCTTTGAAGAATTATTAAATAATAATAATATTATAATATTCTGACCTATAACATGCATTGTGACAGCTCACATAATCATAACAATTACACACACATTCAATTATGATCCTTATGTAAACTACGATTAAATATAAATATTGAAATGTCGCACATAATATTATGATATGAAATACTTTTGTTCTGAGACTTATAGAAATGTTTGTTTCAGTTGCGAAGTGTGTGAGGATATGTACAAGTATGGCAGCAGCAATAAAGTGAAGTTGAAGTGCAAAATGCGTATGTGCATCAAGAGTAAAAAAGCATCTAGACAATCGAGGTATAATGTGATTTATGTCTTTATCTTATTAGCTTATTACATAAAATTATGAATGCTCAAAATGACTTACAAAACGCTCTTGGAGAACATCTTTAGGAAATTTAGAACTTCTTAAAGTAAATTAGCTAAAAATCACGGGTCACTCACGTGAATGTACTGAGAAAAGCTCTACTAGTTTCGAACCACAGAGGGGTTCTTCTTCATGAGCAGCGTGTATGTCGCGGCGATTTCGCGCATCCTCTTTCTCAGTACATTCACGTGGGTTTTAGTTATTTTATATGTCTCACGATAGTTATTATAAAAACATCATTAGGTAGTTTTAAATAAAAGTAAATTGGTGTTCTTTTGCTTGTTAATGTAAAATGGCTGTTTACTTGTTTTCAAAGGCATGATCAGTCATTAAATGTCGCCTATATGTGTAGCCTATCCGTATTTATACTCCTTAAATATAAAGCACTTAAAAAAACTATATGCTGCATCTTTTTAGTGAATTTCTTGTTAAGTCTCGTTACTTTAAGTAACTACTAAAGAGAATATTCCAATTTTTAATCTTCTAGCAGCAGCAACCGAATCAAGAAGAAACACCATGAAAGAGAGCAACATGAGCCAGAAGAGTCCCTCGCTCACTTACAAACAGCTGAAGCTCGGCAGTGCTATGGACCGCAGTGCACCAGAGTCGCACAGTTCGGGTCCAAGTACTGCTCCCCTCAGTGCGGCATGAGGCTTGCTACTGCTAGGATTTACCAGGTAAGAAAGATCGTATGTTTTTTGAGAAATAGTACAAATCAAATTAAATCAAATCAATTTATTTGTGAACACAGGTTATACAGAAGGGTGTTTAATATACATTAATAGCCTCTCTATGTTCTAACAATAAAATTGGTGTACAAATAGTTATTAAGTTAGGCAGGTACCAAGCATTATTAATATATTTAAATTAAACAAGTATAAAAGAATCATGATAGTATGTCAAAATTTAACATTTAGAAATAGGTCAATAAAATAATATGTCTTGTCAATTAAAAATAATGTCAGTTTTCGTTTAAAAAGTCTAATATTATTTTCGTTTCTTATATATTTAGGCAGTTTATTATAAATAGTACCTAATAGTAATCTAATTATTATTGTAAATACCTTCAAGAAAAGAGCGTATTTCTTTTTAAAAGGCTGTGACTCCTCTGGTGTTGCGGGTGTCCATATGCAGCGCTGGTCGCTTACCATCAGGTGATCTGTCTGCTCGTTTGCCTCCTATTCCATTAAAAAAGCGAAAATTTGTAAGTTTGTCTGTTTGTGTGTATGTTTGTATGTTTGTTACGCAATCACATGAAAACGGTTGAAGGGATCGAGATGACATTTGGAACAGTAATAAATATGATCTGGTATACATACAGGCTACTTACTACTTTTTATCTTTGGAGGACGGCGGGCGAAGCCTCGAGAAGAAGCTAGTGTTATAGTAATATAACACAGATGTATACTTATACTTGTTTGTCCTATGGTGATAGATAGAAACTGGTCTATGGTACTCTAGTTCAGTGTTATTTTCCTGAAAAATAAATTAATGAATGTCGATAAGTAAATTGAAAATGATATACAAATGAATCTAGAGTACACTTGAACAGCTTACCTACTGCTTATTCATTAGGTGTATTATTAACATTTAACTACAGACATGGGTGTTTCATAGACGGCGAGTTCACAAATGTAAGAATTTTCCAAAAAAAACGTCCAAGTAGTTGTATCGCAGCGTTTTAAGTTATGTGAAATATTGTTTATATAATTTGAACAAAAAAAAAACGCTGATTTCATTCGAAAATGTTGTTTTTTTTGCACTTCCTTTACAGAATAATAATGGACAGCTCATAATACAAGTAAATATTGTGCAAATCAGTAAATAAAAATAATCCATTTCGATTATTTATTAAGGTGTCTGACATACGTTACGACACCTTTTATGATATGACTGCACCACGTCAGGACTTAAACGTTAATAGAAATCTTAATAATATCAAATTGTTAATGTAAATACCTGCAACATCTATCTACCTTACAGGTGCTTCCACAACGGATACAAGAATGGTCACTTTCTTCGTGCGTGGCCGAGCAGAAGAATCGCAAAGCGTTAGAAGTAGTGCGCGGGGGCATCGCGCGTGCGCAGGCTGCCTTGCGAACACTAGACACGCAACACTCAGACCTCGACGCGATCGTGGCACGGGCGAAGAATGCTACTATTGTTTATACCGATGACAAGGTAGGTAACCAGCATTGTGGATTTTTATGGTACCTAAATGGACTTTTATCTGTTTTACAGTTTGTTAAAGCTAAGGTAAATGTTAGGCTAGAATGTTATCCAGTTTTAACCTGGTATATTGCCAGAGTCAATTTATTCTGAAGGGCATACCTGGGTGCCTTCAGGGCCATTGTGAATAGGTTGCTTATCGGCAGGCGTGCTTCGTCGCCGCATACTTGCATCATCGGTTAACAGAGAGCGTTAACTGCACGCTTGGTGCGGTGGCTGGGCAACCGGCTGCCGCAAAACGTGTCGCGGGTTCGATTCCCGTATAGAGCAACTCTTTGTGTGATCCACAAATTGTTGTTTCGTGGGTGGGTATCATGTGTATGTGGACTTCTATGTTTGTAAACGCACCCACGATGTTGGAGAAAGTTCTAGTGTGGGGAAACGTTTAAAACAAAAGTATACTGAGGTGTCAACCGTGTGCTATTTTGTCATGTTTTTGCCTATTGTGTCTAGTGTTCACTTAAACTTCAAAAAAGTATAAGTTTTATTTCATCAAAAAGTTATTACTCATGAAAACCAGACCGAAAAACCAATATTATATCTGTTTTAAATATACTATCCCCCCTAATATACTATAATATAATAATATTTCTATCCCCCCAGGATGCAGATGACGAAACATCAATGTACTGTATAACTTGCGGTCACGAGATCCACTCTCGGACTGCAGTGAAACACATGGAGAAATGTTTCGTGAAGTACGAGGCGCAGGCGTCGTTCGGCAGTAGACATCGCACGCGTATTGATGGACAGAGCATGTTCTGCGACTACTACAACCCTATTAATGCTACCTATTGTAAGAGGTTGAGGGTGAGTTCGTTATTTTCGTTGTTATATGAGAATTGAGTGATTTTCGGCTTACTCTCTTTCGCGCTGTTACTCAGTAGCAGCGCGACAGTCGCCGCGTCGCGGAATGCTACCCATGAGTATGAGCCTCTAGCATGGCTTGAAACTAGTCGAGTTCCTTGCCGAATAATTACGTGCGTAAACCGAAAAACATAATAATTAATTTAGTGTGTCTCACGAATGGTATAATATAAAAAATGGAGTTATTGTTGAAAAATGCCTGTGTTGATAAAGATGTTTATGTCTAATTTTTGTTTCTGATTCCACAAACTTTAGACAAATGAAAAGTCTAGGCTAGACTAATTACTGATAAGATTCCGTAAACAACACAACTTCCAACATTACATAAGCAATATTTATTTACCTAGCAAAGTCTTATTGGAATCAAATAATGTAAAAATCTTTGCTTCTAAAGTTACCACATTATACATATTACGACTTATAGACCTTTAGAGTTTCTATGTTCCATCGAGAAAGCAATATGAAGATACCAAGAGCAAAACGACATAAGAACTTGTTTGAGTAATTTTTAAGTAACTTTCATAATAAATATGATTTTTAACTGTCTCTCTTTCACCAGGTGATGTGCCCAGAACATTTCAAAGACCCAAAGGTCGGTGACAACGATGTGTGCGGCTGTCCTCTCGTCCGCAACGTGTTCAAGCCGACGGGAGATTTCTGCCGAGCCCCTAAGAAGGCTTGCTTGAAGCACTATCAATGGGAGAAACTGCGGCGCGCTGAGATCGATATGGAGAGAGTTCGACAGTGGCTGAAGTTGGATGAGTTGGTGGAACAAGAGAGGAGTATTAGACTGGCTATGGCTTCTAGGTATGTTTTAAGGTTTTGTACGTAGGTATAAATTTTAGGTGAAAGGGGTCGTTTGTAATACTCCTGAGATCATGCTGAAATGTATGACTTGTTCACCAGTCATGGCATGTAAAGAAATTTAAAAGTAAAATAAATAAAACTACAGTCTTTACTGGTTTATTTGTAACACAAGTTGAACTTGATAAGTGTCGTCGTCGTACGTCGATAAGCTATCGTATTTATTTTACACACACACGACATTACGGTTTTTTCCCCGAAGGGGTAGACAGAGGTGCACAAAGAAGTAACACCCACTTCTCACTATTTATGTTATGAGTCCCATGTAATAGGGGTGAGCCTATTGCCATATACCGGGCACATTTCCAGACTCCGTGCTACTACTGAGATTTTTTTTTAAAAACCTTATAATACTTTGCCCGACCCGGGAATCGAACCCGAGACCCTTTGCCCGGCAGTCACACTTGCGACCACTCGGCCATCAAGGCAGTCGTATTTATTTTATTTGCAAGAAATCGATACTTTTCAAAGGTATCCATTCCAAATATGTATGTTAGATCTCGAAGTCTTTGGGGAGGTTCTATGTTCGGCAGTGGGCGTCTTTTGGTTACTGTGATGAAGACTATGACGCACGTTAAATTTTCTTTTTGCTAAGTTGGTTGAAAAATCTCCCGTATATCCCCAAGCGATCACCGGTAACTGCTCTCTACTAATTAGGTACATTATAGACCTTATTTCCTATGTTTAGAGACTACTTTTGTATGAACAAATTTAGGGGATGACTTTCAACAATTTTCAACAGGTTGTTGTAAATTTATTCATTCTTTATTATTTGTCCACAGAGCCGGAGTCTTAGGCCTAATGCTTCATTCAACGTACAACCACGAGGTGATGGAACGCATCACCACCAAAGCGCCGGAGAATGGGAAAGTCAAGGAAACCTCCTGACGCTCAAACGACGCGGGGTCCGAAATATCGCGCGACTCACGCCCTTAAATTAATAATAGACAACTTTATTATAGTTAATTATAATGAAAAAGTATATTAAATAATGATTTTGATATAGATCGTGTTCTTATTCATTTTGTTTCTTTTATTTTTGACCCGCATTTTCTCAAAATTCTGGGGTTCTAAACACATTGGTGTACAGCCACCACAGCTATTTACTATAAAGGTTAGAAAATAAAAATTGGTTTACTACTGAACCGACCATTGGTTACAGAAGATATGGCTTGGATAAAAATATAAGTTAGTATAATACTGATGCTGTGGAAGAATATGACTCCCACACCCCTGTGTGAGACCGGACAAAGGGGTTAGGTTTTAGTCAATAACGAGTCGTGAAAGTCCCTTTCGTCCTCCCCGAGTGAGGGGGCTCCATGAGCATTTCTCACCTTGGGGTCTGTTTGAATATCAAGCTCCAGGTGTGTTGCTGGGTACTGATTGTAAGGGACAACCGATGTGCGCACGGCGTCGTGGCGGGCGAGTGAGTGATGATCGCCGATCGCGACGGTCGCGATGTGACGCCAGGAACGGTAAAAAAATGTATAATAAATTAATAAGCTACTCTCTTTAATAATTTAATCTTTATTTCCTTACCGCATAGTAAATAGTTGTGCTGACTATACATGGTTAGTCTTCTATCAGCCTTTTAGTATTTTAGTACCTGCTAAAGTTAATACCACATTCGTAGATTCGCCCTATGACCATTATGGATCCTTGTGAACATCTAGGTTACGAGGTAAAACTTGTGTTAAAAGGATGGAATCGAAAGTTCGAAACAAATCGATACATGAAAATTCGGATTTCCATTGTCCACGCATCAGACGTGAACGGCTCGACTGATTTCGCTAATGTTCTCTTTTTTGTTGTGATCTATCCAAGGTGGAGTATTAACTTTATGAAAAAGTAATTTGGTTCTGTAGAAAAAATAAAAATAAATATTGTAAGCAAATGATATCTAAGTTATCTAACATTATCTAATAATATAATTGAAACAAATAGGTACCGACCTCACTACTTAAATATGATTACCCGAGCGTAAGGCGCGTCGCGTTCCGCGCGCGCCTCAAAGAGCCACCAGACCACCACGGATGGGGCCCAATAGGGCTGATTTCTATACGAAGCCGCAGAGGACTTAACGGGTTGCCGGGGCTCCGGCTCGAGTATTAGGAATGGGATGGTTTTTAGTCAGTAAGAGTCTGGCACTTCCTCTAGCCTTACCCAGGCGGGAGCAGTCATTCGATGAATTTGACCAATTAAAAAAAAAACTACTTATGATTGACTGTTAGAGAATGCTTATATCCGTAATAAAGGCTACTCAATTTTAAATCGTACTCAAATAGGTATCGTTCATCTCTGATATTTTACAAAAAGAACTCTCAGACGTCTTAAAATTGAGTGGTGTCTGTATATTTGGACATGAGACCGTAAAAAAGTAAAACAATATATTTTCAATTAAATATAACAACACAGAAATATTAAGATCACCCCCATTTGATCACCCTTCGTAATCGGTCCGCGTCATCCTAGCTTGCATTGTGCGAGTGTGTCCAAACGACACATTATCTTCGGTTCCGATTTATTAAAAACATATTAGCGCATTTGCGTAGAAAAGGCGATTGTACGCTCGTGTGGTTATTAGACGAGTATAAAATTGACGATTTGACTTTTTAATACCGAACTAAGGAATACCTTTTTCCGAAATAGAAAAAGAATCGTTGGCAGTGTCTAAAAAATAAATAGTAGGTAGTACTTACCTAGAGACTATAAAACTTACTTGTTTACACTTTTTGAAAAATAATTAAAAAATTATTTATGTATAAAAAATGCAATCTTCTCTTTTATTTTCGGCCTTATACTGGAGCGCAAGACATAATTAAATTACAATTACCTACAAGTCATAGTTCGCTGTTCGGACCTTTGAGAGTCAAGTGAATAAAGCTTTTTCCGCCTTGAGTGAGGCGAAAAGTAGATTTAGACTCTTACGACCTTAAAACCACCTCATTCCTTCTCCTGCATTGATTCGGAGCCCCGGTGACCCGCTAGGTCGTCCGCAGCACCGATCAAGTTAGGTAGTACCTATCCAATTACCTATTTTACCAACGTTCCTAAAATATTTAAACTGTCAAACACCAAGCGGTCACCGGTGACCGCGACCTATTGTTCTTTAATTGTGTCTATAAAACCGGTACTCGACGAGTTAAAACGGACTAATAATTTGGGGGATCTCTTTAGCCAACATGAACCGATAATCACAATTACAAAAAGTAGCTACAAGCAAAAATAAATTTAAAAACAATATAAGTAGTAGCAAAATATGTCGTAGCAAAATAAATGGTTTTTCTTTCTCTCTTTCTTTTTTTCTCTTTAAGTAATTTACATCAACAAACCGCGACGGTGGCGATGCACTTGCGTCACATTCGATCACCGCCTTGTTATGCAGCTACCCTAAACAATTAGTTCACAAAGCGAAGCATTAGTTATCATATCAAAACATATTTTGTCCCCCAGCACCACGTGCGGCCGCTCAAACACCCCCTGACTTTAATAACAGCCCTTCCCTTTGTAATTGAAGCGTGTAATTCGGTGACATGTTTTTCTAAATCTCATAATTTGACACGGATTTGTATTGTATTGGACAATCTCTTGTTAGAGACTGATCTGTTGAGTCTAGGTTTTAGAGGCTAGTGGTCGGCTCTCAGAACATGTTAAGCGCCGACGGCGCGCTTGCAGCGAGTACCTAAATAATGTACCTAAGTCAGAAGTCAGAACACCTAAGTCAGAAAATACGGAGAACCTAACGGGTTACCGGGGCTCCGGCTCGAAGTGCAGGAGAAGGACCAGGGTGGTTTTTAGTCAGTAGGTAAGAGTCGGACACTCCCTCCCGTCTCACCCAGGCTGGGAGCAGTCAGAGCAGAGCAGGGGAAAATCATCGATTATACACCCACATCGACATCCCCCTTAAAAAAAAGTCAGAAAATACTCTAAGGTTGACTATTAGAGAATGCCACTAGGCATTATTGTATACCCTTGTGCAAAAAATGTAAATAAAAAATATATAAAAATCACCTTCATTTGTAATGCCTTTTTGCATCGTTACCTTGCATTATTACTTCGTGTAGGTAAAGGACACATGCGAGCAGATAGACAATCTATTTTAAAGTTGAAATAATGTTAAAGCTACGAATCACATCTATTACGAATTTACTGAATTTTAGGTAAGGCATAGGTAAGCGGTTGCTGACTTGTTTACCTAGGTAATTACTAAGATGATTCTGCATGATCCTATATCTATTTACCTACAGCATAAGTATGCGTGCAAGCTCGGAGATTGCTCTGGAAAACGATAAATCTGGAGATATCTTAAAATGAATGTTTGTAGTTAACCACTCTTTAAGTCGGCTGATATCTATGGTTTGATTGAAAACAACTCCAGAGCTACCAGAGAAGAATTCAAAATCACAAATCCCAATGCTGATATGGTTTGATTAAAAACAACTCCAAAGCTACCAGAGAAGAGTTCAAAATCACAAATCCCAACTATAATTTTGAACCTGAAACTTCGCAGTAGTTTTACCAATTCAACGAAGCAGACAAAAAGAATTAACACATCAATACAACCCCTCTTCGGAAGAAATGAAAAGCTTTACCCAATCTCCACCAATTTTGTGTCAAAGTTGACAAATATCGTCAATTTCGTCAGCAGGACAATGCATGCGTAGCTAATCCGCCATCTGTCCCGGTCACGCCTATCCAGCTAATGTGATATGATCAATAACAGATTAGTCAATACGAATATTATTAGTTGCAGGTGCATTTTTGATTGGACTCTTACTGACTAAAAACCACCCTGTTCCTTCTCCTGCACTTCGAGGCGGAGCCCCGGTAACTCGTTAGGTTCTCCGCGACAATGTGATAAGGTTTAAGTCTTAAGTCTTAAGTCATTCTGTCTCCTACATTAATTCATCGAGGGAATTGGAAACTATCGTTTTTTTCTTATCCTCTTATAATAATATTTTTTGGTTTATTTTGTTATGAAATCAAAGATAGTTAGTTCATGATAATCCATGTCCCTGGGACGCGGCGGACTTCACTGTTCCGATGTTTTCATGGTTGTATGTATTGTAGATCCTGGCGTATAGAAGTTGCAGCTGTTTTGGGAGAATGTGGTGATCACTAATCCTACCTTCACGCGGATGTCGTAAGAGTCCACTAAGGGACAACATATTAAACATAGAGACTGGGCAGTCTGCTCTGAAACTGCGGTTTCCGTACCACGTAAGATTTTTGTAATAATTAAAATATGGTCTACTTATAAAAAAGAAAATGTAATTAAATGACAACGGGCACGAGTCCGTGGAGAATAACAAAAATATTTAAAAAAAGAACTGCGATCGCCAATCCTCTTTCTTATCAAATTCAAAGTCTTTATTTGCGCATATCGTAAAGACTGGCAATATGACAAACATTTTTACTGTAGAGGAGGCCTATAATCCACTATTAGACTCTCAAGGGTTGTTGGCAATGGACGATGCTTACCTGCTATAAATGTCATTTTGTCATTTCGAACTCTTTCGATGTGTCTATCATATGGCGAACCGCGATCGAGTTCACTAGTTGAGTCATCGAGTTCAGCTGCATATAAAAGAAAACTTGATAATTTTTTGCATAGCATTTTAGTATGATCAATAGCAGAATAGCCAGTGGCCAATATAAATAAGTATACTTATTAATAGTCGCAGGTGTATTATTGATTTTAGACAAGTTGCTGATTTTAATTGCGCTCTGATCTGAAAGAAAATCACTTGCAGTTTTTGTTTTCTTGGAATTACGATGGCGATTTTAAGAGCAATGATGAAATAATTCAAAACTGCCGAGAAGACAATATTAATCATAGGTTTCTTTTAAGTGGAAATAGGCGAAAAAGGTGAAACGGTAGAATGCATAAAAAATATTCTAATTGCCTACCATGAAAGTGCTCTTACATAATATATGCCTGTGTTGAACAATTTTATTGTATTATAAAAACATAACTTTAGTTTCTAAAGGAGATATAACTACAAAAATATAGGTATAGAACTTAAAATTTTCTACAACGAAAATAGGGAATAAAACGAAAGTTAAAAAAATATTGACTTTTAACATTTATCTCGCTGTATTCTTATCCTATACCATGTCAAACCATGTATTTTTCACTGCTTTCACGTAGTTTTACAGCAAAATTCAGAAATCAGAGGTCGATACCGACCGCCTCTTGCGCCTGCTGCGACCAATCAGATTTTACCACCCTCATCTCTCCCTTCATCCAACCAATCAGAACCGAGAAGACTGTTTCAACTATGGTTAGGGGTGAAATGTTGCCTTGACATTGCAATTTGGTTCTTACACCCTTAAATTTTGATAATATTTTTGAAAAGCACGGGAAATTAATAAAACTGCAAGCCCAGAGCGTGAAGTTATAATTTGATTTAGTTCATTTTGGTGCGTCGTGGATTGTGGTTGGTCTTTGAAGGTGCTCGAGTGATCCATAGTGCCTAAAGGGTGGTGTCAGTTTTGTCCAAGGGTCTGTGCAAAGGTATCAAAATTCATTTCCCGCTGATGTCCTACGGCAGCGAGACGCCGCACGTCTGGAGCAGCTCAGCAGTAAGTTGTTCTTACATATTTTTTTTAAAAATAATCCATAAATAAATAAATAAATAAGCCTTTATTTCGTTCCCATAGTAACAATGATACATTTCAATTGGTTATAATTTAACAATACAAAAGTTCAATATAGGAAATATCATCTAATAATTCTATTAGTAATTAATTTCATGCATTATATTGCTTTTCTTTTTTTTTAATAAAAGTTATATTTAATAATTAATTATGTGATCCCATTCAATTAAAGGGAACCCCTGTAAGTAAAGGCCTCCTCCAGGTTAGACCACTTTTCTCTATTTTGAGCTTTCTTCATCCAGCTCTCGCCAGCTACAGCTCGAATATCGTCCACCCAGCGTTTGAGCGGGCGGCCCACACGTCGTTTGCCAGTGCTGGGGCCTCTCCACTTGGTTATTGTCTTTGTCCATCTTCCGTCCTCAGAATGAGACAGGTCATTTTAAATAATCCAAAACGGTAAAAATAACTAAAAAGGGTTAAATTCATTTTGTACTATTAGTTTGCATGTTTCTCATTGGAATGGAATCGTTTTCCAGCCTCTTTTTATCTATTATTTTTTTCAAATAGGTCTCATTTGTACCTACGGAGGGGCCGAGGGTTTTTTGATTTCGCATTCATGTTATTTTTGCATTATCTATCAAAACGCTGAAATTCTAGCATTACAGGATCAAGTCAAATAGTAAAAAAAATCTAAAATGGTGCAGGTACCTAAAAACAGTATTCGTAGTACTTGCTTATTAAAGAGGTCCAATATTCTTAAATAAGTATTTATTGCAAAACTCTTACGTAAGGTTTGGGAAACTAAATTACTCCCAAAGCGTCAGTTGTTCCAATGTACCTACGATTTATCAAATTAATTTTGTCAATCTGGATGCGGCGGGAGAGAGTGGCAGACCAGGCCTTTTTTTAGGAGGCAATATTATCCAATGGCTTTTCTTTCCCGCCTGGGTGAGGCGAGAGAGTCATACTCTTACTAACTAATTACCACCCCGTTCCTCGGCTGGCCCGCGGCTCCGTAACGGCATCAATCCTATTAGACTTCATCCGTGGTGGTCTGGGGGCCAATTCTCGATTTTCGCCATTTATCTCGAGTTCGACATTGTAAGTCTATCTCTATGTCTATCAAAAATATCTCTATCTCTACCAAAAAATGTCGAATTGCACAGAAATCCGTATTCTCAGTCAAAATAGAAACAAATGTCACGAAAATGTCGAGTCGAGTGAAGATAATGTTACCATTATGCAGAATCGCACGTTCCATTTTAGGTAGTTGTGAGTGAATGAATGATTTTGTCATAAAATGTTCACTAAACCTAATTATTTAAGTTAAGACGGAACGTTTAGTGCAAAAATATTCAGTTTGACAGGACAGTTCCAGTTGACTGTCTGTCAGTGTCACAATTTAGATCTGTAAGCGGTTGTTTCAAAACTTTTATAAGTTCATCATCACTCACTAGTGGGCTATTCTGTTGGACATTTTTATAATTTTCGTTTTAATATGCAGGGAGAGAAAAAATACCCTAGTGCCCAACAAAAACTATTACTAGTCCAACTTGTGGAAGCAGTTTTTGGTCTGTAAGGTTACTTCATGGAATACTTATAGACTAATAAAATTATGAAGCAGAATTATTTACCTTCGTTTTTAGGTCTATTTTTGTGGTATCCTGAATTACAGGAGCCAATAGGTCTATTAAAACTCTGATTAAATTTTTATTTAACTCGTCGAGTACCGGTTTTATAGACACAATTAAAGAACAATAGGTCGCGGTCACCGGTGACCGCTTGGTGTTGGACAGTTTAATCTAAAGTTTTTAATTTTAATAACTTCGCTATCGCTCAAGTCGTAAATATCGACGACGGGATAAGTGCGCTGTTGCCGCCGTGTATTGGCCAGTCGCTCGCCACTTTCCAACATCTCCAAGATAAATATATTAATAAACTCGTCCATGTTTCAAGTTTCAAGCCCAATCGTGGGTACACAAATTAAAGACTGTTATTTACGCGAAGGTCGTCGTTTCAAGAAAACACAATACACAAATTGAAGAGTCTATACTGAATTTCCAATGTTCATACTTATAAGATGCCAAGCCGTATTTTACTTTAAAACGAAAGAAAAGAAAACACTGTACAATTCGAAACTCAACGAATTCACAGAAATGGCGTATCTCAGTATCTCTACAATCGACATGCCATCTCTACTGCTCAGAAGCACTCGACATGAACTCTAACGTTAGTCTTCGACAAATGTCGCATTCGACATCTCCAGAATAGCAACTTTTAAAATTTGACGAAAAAATGACGTCATTAGACATTTTTGTCGAGTTCGACATCATCTCTAAAGCCGAGAATTGGCCCCCTGATGGCTCTTTGAGGCGCGCGTTGAACGCAACACGCCGTACGCTCGGGTCTGATTCTGATCGGGCGGCGAATCTTCGTGCTCGCCGTGAGCAGGCCCGTGCTTACAGTGGCCGGAGATCGTCTCGTGGTCCCCGACGTCCGGAGTGTCTCTCGCAAGGGCTGCTCCGCCTTCTCCTTAGCAAGCATGACTGCTTCGCAGTCTTCTACCGTCTCCTCCTTAGGAGACGGCATCCCAGTCCCCTCGCTCCGTACCATAGTCAAAAACCGAGCCAGCCGCGAGAGGTGTCGCCGTCGCCGATCACATCCAAGAGGACACTACGGTGCTCAGCCTACGCAGGGCACACTGCCACCATATGCTCCAACGTTTGCTCTGGGCGACCCTCGCAGTGATGAGACAGACAAGGCCGGGATGATTTTTATTTAGTTAAGTAGGCTACTCTTGCTCTGTGCCGGGGCCGGGGCCGTAAGCCCGGTTGGATCATTGGATAGCCTTCATTTATCTAGGTATCTGTATTTATGTGGTGTTCTGCTGTCCAGGGTAGCGAGGTGTCTCCATACGGTCCGCTGTGGGACGCTCCGCCGGCACCCGTGCCGTATCCCGACATCCTGGCGTTCCCGCCGGCCGACCTTGGTAATTACAGTTTATCTTTTTTATTCTTTGGTAAAATTATACGACGTACAATTGATGAGAAGTAAATAATTTTTTATCATCAAGAGCTCAAGAAGCACCAGATTTCTAACACCTTTATACATTTCATGCATAGGTACTATTCGCCAACATGAAACTCTTCATTGTAAGTGTACCTACTTAGGTAATCGAAATGATTTTTTTTTTATACCACGACGTTGGCACTAAAAGCATACGGCCCACCTGATGGTAAGCGGTTGCCGTCGCCTATCTTTAGTTCTACCATCAGACTTCTGGTACATCTGGCTAGATTTCATTTTCGTTCATGCACCACTTAGGTACATCGTTATCCTTCAACAGTTCTATAGGTATTCAATAAGAGCAGTTGTGTCAAAACACTGTTAGTAGACTGTTCAAGTTTTCTTTTATACTTCGTAGAAATACCAAGTTGTTTTACATAATAATTTTACCCACCAAATTAACATGACTAGTGTGGTCGGCGGCGGGTTGCGGCGGCCGAGCGGGTGCTCGCGTGCCTTCAGGCGGCAAGAAACCACGTCGTCGTGTCGCCTCCGTGGCACAACGTCGCGCAGCCAACATTCGCGAGCGACGCCGCATGTTCAATCTCAATGAAGCCTTCGATAAATTGCGTAGGAAGGTTGGTATTGATTATTAAGCTAAACCAATGCGTGTCGTCGCCAGGTGGCAAGAAGGCGCGGCACCGTGTCGCCTCAGTCGCGCAACGTCGCGCCGCCAACATCCGCGAGCAACGACGCACCTTCAACCTCAATGAGGGCTTCGATAGGTTGCGGAGGAAGGTTTGTACTTGATACTTATTGTAATGCATGTTTTAACTACCACCAGTATCTCCAGTTACTGCTGAGTGTTCACCAGAAGAGGTAAGTGACCTTTTGTCAATGATTTAACCATACTCATTGTTGCTATCCCAAGTAAAGTTAATAGCTTAGATACGTCATTCAAATTATCAATGAGTTATTTGAACGGCTGTCTGCTTACTGCAAATTTCAATACCCTGAATGCAAAATCTGCAGTTATGGATCCATTTTTGACAATAGTTGTATGGAGTTTCTATAATAATCAAAAAATTGGATACGATTGAAATTGGCAGTAAGCACGTTCACTATCAAATAAACGTGGTTTAAGGAAAGTTAGAAGGTAGAACTCTACTTCCCGCGACTACTGTGATACCTCAAGCTCAGGAAGCAATGCTTTCTGATCTTGATATATCAATCTATCTAAAATACTATGAGTATGTCTTAAAATCTGGTTGGGAGGACCTACTATAAAAATATTCCCATCAAATAGCCGGGATTTACCAAATACTCACGACTGTGCGTTGGTTATATCTAGCAGTATGGGGTCTTGTATCCTTAATTCTCCCATTTTAAACTCGTCCTAACAAGATTTTGTTACACTTTTTTTAATGGATTATTTTTGTCTAGGTGCCGACGTTTGCCTACGAGAAGCGGCTCTCCCGCATCGAGACCCTAAGACTGGCCATCACCTACATCAGCTTCATGTGTGAGCTGCTGCATGGATCTCCTCAACCTCATCACGCGTCTCATGCCATACATCCTCCAAGACATGTGTTTGATGCTGAAGTACCATGGTGCGCTTAGGAGTCTGTTCTATAAAGTTCTATGTTTTTATGTTTTTTTCTAGTCATTTGAAATATTGGGATGGTGTCATATTATAATATGTAGCAGATGTTTGGTTGCAGTACAATCGTTAGTGGATATTGAAAGTACCTTTAATTTAAATGGAGTATTTAAAGGGATTGCTAAGTGTATAGGAAATCGTAATGAATAAAAAAAAGAGAAGCGCTGTAGCTGTGCCACCAGTGGCGTAGCTATACCGTTCGGGGCCCATGGCAAATTCATCGTATGGGCCGGGATTTCCAATGAAAAACAGAGAAGTTCAGATGTAAAGGACTTAATGGGGCCCCTTCCAGCTGGGGGCCCGTGGCAGTTTTACGACTTGTCACCCTGTAGCTACACCACTGAATCCAAGAACGTGTAGCGATGTAGCTGTACCAATTGTACCATGTAGGTACCATCGAAAACGAAATCAGGGAAATTAAGGATTACTCAAAGAAATATGATCTCAAAGCTCGGTAATATGACACTATCCACACAATTTGTGTGTTTTGTTTTATTTGTTACCCAGCTAGGTATTATTACTTTACATACATCTCTTCTTCTTAGTCGTTCTTTTCGTCTACTGAAGGTCATCTAGTCTGGTGCACGCGTCACTTGATGCACAACCTTCCTCTAAACGCCCCTGTCCTCTGCGGACTTTATGGCTTGTGGAACTGTCAGGCCGGTTAGGTATTTTACAGCATCTAACTACCAGGTAGGTGAGCGACCACGAGGTCTTTTCTCGTTAACCTAACCAAAAACCACAAACTTCTCCAGATTGTTGGGGAATGTGGCAAAAATAGATTAGTTACAGTGTGGTTACAGTTACTTACATAATGAACTATATATCATTCAAGGATTATTATAAACTTTTCAATACGGTCGGCATCGGGTCAATCTTCTCTTTTCTGTCAAATTTCTTTGTTAGGTTTTCAACTCTGTCATTTAGATATAAAATCAAAATTTTAATGACAAAAATTGGCACAATGGAGTTGGTTTTGTTGGCCACTGCATAGATTAGTCATTTATGAATAAAAAATATACAATAATCATCAATATCATATTGTATTTTAAGTTATAAGTTAGTCATTTAGGTAGATATAAGTGGAAATAATTATGCGAAGTTATCTATCGCTGATTATAATTCTTGTCTTCCATTAATTTGTATTATTAGACAATAAATCATATTCGAATACAAGAAAGTTTTTAATTTTAACACTATCTTTTGACCTTAGCTATTTACCCGTATATTAGCATGTCTTCTGTAGGTACTTAAAACTGTACATTATTATGGCAACATATTCCGTTGACTATGAAGCATACCGATTTTTTTTTAAGGGGGGAAAATCATCGACTGACTGCTCCCGCCTGGCTGAGGCGGGAGGGAGTGTCAGACTCTTACTGACTAAAATCCACCCCGTTCCTTCTCCTGCTCGTCGAGCGGGAGTCCCGGTAACCCGTTAGGTTCTCCGCGACAAAGAACGTCATTAATGCTGGGATCGAACCTGCGACCATCGAAAATCTCATAACCATTGCGCCAATCTTACAACTACCGATAAGATAGCTTAGGACTGGTATCTGCATAGAAAACTTGGAATATCTCAAAATGTAGAGGTTCTAGCTAAAAAATAACCAAATTTTCATCACCTTCTAGACTAGACCGACTCGATGGACAGGATGGGAGTTGTCCTGGGGCCCATTACCAAAGTTTTAAACACATACAGGTCAAACCTCTTTTTTTAGAAGTCGGTTAAAAATACATTGTTCTTCTATTGCTTTTTTAACCTTTTCGCCGCCAACAACTTCTATAGAAGTTCAGGATTTTCGTGCCGTCCACGCCACTACTTCTATAGAAGTTCATTGTATCTACCTACTATAAAAAATACATTTACGATACATAAAACATTTGTTTCTTTGTAATTTTGTAATATGGACACGACGAACTATTTTTTCTCATGCAAAACAGACTATTTTCTGTTTTAAAAAGGTAAAACATAAAAGGTTTCAAATAATTTTATATCCCGCACGCCAACGACTTCATATCAAGTAGGCCAGTGATGTGACGCGTAAGGAGCATTCATTAGAATCTTTATTTACTATAATATTTGTTTTCTTTTCCATCCAATATTTTTTTGAATTCTATGAATAAAAAGAAATTCCGGTCAGTAAATAACGTATTACAATGCGTTTCAAAATTAATGTACATCTACCTATCAAATCATTTCATTAAAATTAATTATTATGTACTGAGGGTTTTCGATATTGCTAGACCCATCTCTACGTAATGGCAAGATGTCGAGTGACACTAGCGCCGTCAACTTCAATAGAAGTAAACCTGTGACGTCGTAAGCGCTTAGGCGTCAAGGTCATTGTGTCATAGTTCCGGGCGACGCGTGCACGCACATTTTTCTTTCCTAGTGCAGTGCAAAATGACCGAATATGATTCAAACTGTTTGGGTCGCGAAAAATTTGTGATCGACTCAGGTCTATATTTGTTCGCCGACACAGCTAAAAGTTTGCGAAACCGAGAGCCGCAACGAATAGGTATTTTATGACTACCTAATATCCATCAAACGTGCCAGTTTTTCATTTGCATTAAATGAAAAATAAGCTATTAAAGTTTAGTACATCTGTATTAAAATAGTTACTTACCATCCATTTCCAAAACTACACATATGTTGCCACTTTTAATCACTACAAACAATGTTCCTGATCGTGACCTGACGTTAGATTTTAAATGTAAACTAAAACCAAAAGCAAACCAAACTCGATAGAAAGAAAGAAAAGCATAGACAACTATTCCTTACGAAATGTATCGTGCTTTGAACGCCAATGACTTGATATGAAGTAAACAGACTACGTTATGAAATGAATAGTGAAGTGGCTAATGTTACGAATTATTATTATTATCTCTAGCAACTCTATGCATGTATCTTCATCTCTGATAACGGATACCCATTTTTCTTAGTATAAATGTTCATAAAATAAAACAAATTACCATTATAACTTAACAGTTTGTATTTTTAATTGTAAATTTGAGTACCAATTTAAATTTACACATATTTTTTTTCATTATCGACATGATGTTACCGCCATCCCTACTTTCGTACTATACATTTATTATACATTTATACGTTGGCGTACGGCGACACATCGTGTTTAGTATAGCTGGGCGGCGAAAAGGTTAAACTAACAAAGTTAAGAATAACTCATGTTATTTTCATAAAAACACCATGAGTAATTTTGGAAATCATGGCAATTATTAAAACTTTAACTTTAGGTAATGATCTAATTTTGTGATTAATGATTAATGTAAGTATTATTCAATGATGCAATCCGCGCAATTCTTTTCAAAATGTTGCGACATTAGGTAATACAACAACAACAACAGCCTATAAGTGCCCACTGCTGAGCAAAGCCTCTTTTCACACGGAGAAGGTTTGCGCATTAATCACCACGCTTGCTCAATGGTTGGCGATTACAAACTTATAATTAGAAATTGTAAGCCCAGGTTTCCTCACGATGTTTTTCTTAACCTTTTGGCAGTGGTGTCTAGATAATCTTAGAAAGTACATATAACTCGGAAAAAATCACATTGGTAGTTGCCGTTGGTAGGTTTCGAACCCTCACCCTCATGCAAGAGAAGCGGGCATCTTTAACCCACGGGCCAACATTAGGTAATTATAATAATCATTACATTAGGTAATGACAACGATATATTAATTAAACTTAAATGGCTCATCCTCATTTGCGATGAATTAGGACATTTGCGTAATCTATTTAGTATATAATCAGGATTCAGTTTTAAACTTATTTAGTATCGAAGTGTTGTTCGCAAAAGTGGTATCTCATGTGAATTTATTCTCTTCAAATAAGGAGTGTCCAGTGTTGTCAGTGATATTTGTAATTTAGATCCAAAATTATATAAAAATGCGTCTATTTGTGTTAAATGTAAGTACCAAATATATTATTATTATTACTGTATGTTGTATCAGCCAGTTAGAATCACTGTACTATTTATTTAAAGCTTTTAAAGTTATGCACCGTCGTCATTAGGTATCTATTAGTTCTTATTTTTTTATTTCACTAAATTATGACTATTAATATAGAGTTTTAGAAAATGCGTTAGTTGAAATCAGGTTCATCTTACAGTAGTTTAAATAGTTCTTCTCAGTCGGTCTTGATGACAGTATTATTTAATACAGGATATCCCTTGTTTCAGCTTTTACTATTAACCACCGTCGCCATTGCTTCATCAGAAGAACGTCACAAAAGACATCTTCCAATTTTGATGAAATGGATAAAACTGCTTTATTTGGACCAGAAGACACCATCGTTGAAGAGGTAGCTGTGCCACCATCGAGGCCTGAATACGAGGTGTTTAGACTACCTGGTCATGATGTAGTGGTCAAGGTTAGCCCTAAGATCCTCAACGCTGAAGGGGTTGTGTATCGAGAAGTAGAACCAGTAAACCTCAAAGCCTTTGGAGCAGTTGTAGGGATAGAATCCCCAGATGACACCATAGCAGCCGTAAGAGAAGTAGACAACCTACTCTCTTCAGGTATTTTATATGGAGGATACGACGATATAATGAAAGACCATATCGTCGCAATGTTTCCTGGTATAAAAACTGTAGATGAAGAAATTGTTCCTGTTATTGAATCAAGGCCGATCATATCAGAAGTTATTACGCCTTTAGAAGAAGAAGTCGAATTGGAAGTGCTGCTTGATAAAGATTCGTATGAACAGCTAAATGATCACGAGCGAGCAAAAATAATTACTGCCGATACTAAACCTGGAACAGAGTTAGTGGAAACTATTAAAAATGATGAACTGCCTAACGGTATAAGGAGAAGAATTGGTGCAGCGGTTCTCCTAGGTGCAGATTCTTCTAGATATGAGCGGGTGGAAGAAGTAAATCCAGCCCCCGTAGTTGAAATCAGCTACCCAAGCCTAGGAGATCCGTTAATCGAAAATCAGCTTCACGAAAAAAATCGCTTCACAAATATTGGTAAAGAAGTGAACATATCTGAGACGCTTGGACCTATACCATCTTTGTACTTGAAACGTATGAACTATACGGACAGTTTGAAGAATGACCAACTGAAATCAATAATCATCGCACCAACTAAAGAGTCTATTGCATCCCAACGTGTTGAAAATTCGGATCTTCCCTCTTTATTAAAATTACTGAAATCAGAGGTGATAAATCCTCACCCATTATCTTTCTCCTCTTTACACCTAGTTCATTTAGAAGACGTTCAAGTTAATGTCTCTAAGGATACTAGTAATTCGAAGAATGAAGACTTATCTCCTTACACAAATACCGGTAAAAAGGTGGAACTATCTCATACGTTGGGATTGGGACCTATGCCATATCCATATTCTAAGCATCTTGAAATCACGGACAATTTGAACACCAATGATAAGCCGAAACCAGTCGTCATCGCACCATCCAAGGAACATAGTCAATCTCAATTTGCTAAAAACGTTGTTGTTGCACCTGAAAATTCAGAGACTAAAATCAATAAGGAAAATAACCAAGAGAAAGCAGGCCAAGAGGCACATTCTGAAGAAAATGTTCCAGCTTCACATAACGAAATTGCGAACGTTCCTGCAAAATCAAAGACTGCGCAAAAGAAAGAAGATGATCAAGTACGAGTCCAAAAACAAACTACAACAAGCAAACCTGAAGCTAACATTTCCGATGGAAAGGATAACGGTTACGTTTACGTTAATCACCCTAATCCTACCAAAGAAAACCTAGTAAAAGAAAGTAATGTTCTTAAGACCAATGTGAAAACAAACAGTAAGGATAATATTAAAGTTGTCGCACCTATAAAACTAGAACTGGATAAAACACATGTTACACAATCAAAACATAAGCCAGGTGAAAAGATTTTTGGTACAAATCCACTTAAAACAAATGAAGTGAAATCTTTAACACAAAATCCAGTATTAGCTTTAAACAACGTAAGGAATGAGGAAGATGTTCACCAAGAACATTCTAAAATAACTGAACCTAGTATAAAAATTTCTTCTTACCAACAAAAGCAAGCAGATGGCTCGTCAATAAACGTAAAAGCACATAAAGATGACATCTCAGTTGATTTCAAAGGAAGAGGAGATATACCAGAAAAATGATAGGGCAAAATAAATAGACAATAAGTTAGTTTTAAATATTTATTAATATTAGATTTACTTAATTTAATATTTATTCTAAATATAAGCTTGTAATAAACAAATATATTTAATAATTTAAAGCCTGTTTTTTTTTTCGTTGGAGTAACATGGCACAGATTATAAATGTGATGGATTTTTCATTCAACAAGTTTACTTCGAAGCAATATTCATAAACATAAATATATAAATAAATGCATTTGTAAAGACATCCTCTTTCACAAGGCTGAATGAATTGTTCATACATCAACTGCATTACAAATTGTCAATTTTCTTAAATAATTTATTTAAATGCTTGGCTTTTGTATCAAATGATTAGAGCCCACTATGTAAATCTAAAAAGAAATTAAGTTCTTAGAATAGATGCAGGTTTATAATAGCAATAGTTTTCTTCGATTTATCCGTGGTAAAAGATAAAGGTGTGAATTGAAAAAGGTAACTATTTTTATTGCAATGCTGTCTAATCATTTGAAACAAATTCAACGGTGTAATTAAAAAAGTCACAAAAATTGAACAACATAGCTATAGATATAAGAAAGTCCAGATGCCTAGTTGGCGCCGTTCAAATACATCCCATTGAAAGACGCTAATTTGGCGTCTTCGGTAACAAACTCCGCCCACTTTTTTATATCTATGTTGTACAACGACCAGGATTTTGACACATTTTTTATAGAACTTAAAACTGTACATACATGGCAGGGTTTACATATTTCCTTCCGATTTATGGTTAAAATGTAAAGAACATAGCAATTTATTCTATTTCTTACTATTTTGCTACCTATTTAGTTTAATAGACAGGAGGATTTTGATAGAATTAAAATAAACTTTAGACAGATGTAACTTTAACGACACATATTTTAGACCTTATTTTTTAACAGTTTGGGGTCAATTTTATCCTTTGAATAATATACAATATTACATTTACTTGTTAAGTACAACAACACGTATAGATTTCCATTGATTTAATCATAAAACGATTTCCAAGCTTGTTTTACGAGCTTAGACCATCGAGCGCCAATCAGTTCCTTGCATTCTTTGCAACTGTCAACTGTCAAATGATTTCGCGCCTTTTTATACAGATGCAAAATGAAACCTGCCAGTTATAGGCATTAGAATGTAATTAATTTTCCGTAAACAATACAAAATCATAATTTGAGCTTCATGGGTTTTCAACAATTCGTTGTCCTCAAGAATTTTAGACCAGTAATTCGTCAATTTATATACATAATTATTTTGCGCATCGTCACGGACACAGGTTAAAAAAATCGGACATAACTGTACAAATTTCAAAAAATGGTCTCAAAAAAAGGAAAATGAATACTTTGTCGAAAGATACAAGTCGGGAGCCATGTTTTAAATCAGTCGTAATTCAAACAGCGCTTTCTCTGTGTAACGTGAGGGTGACGTCGGGAGGGGGAGGTTCCCAGCGCTGATCCCAGGCAGGTTTGCGGCGCCGCTCGACAGGTGGCGCTGAGTCACCTGACCCATCCGAGTAGCCGCTGCTGCAGGACCGTAAACTGCATGATGCGTGCACTTTGTGCTCTGTAATAAAAAAAGATTTAGTTTAGTATATATTTAACTAAACATACAAGTTTTATTAATAATAAAAAAACAAGTTATAAGTACTCTTAAGGGTTGCCTAACATAAGGATTGTTTTTAACCAGAATTTTATTATTATAAAACATAATCTTTGCATCAAAATTACGTATTAGGTTCAAGACAATTTTCTTGACCCGGGAATGAACTAATGAAGCAAAGTCCCTGATTCGGTCTATAAAGATTTCCTTTCAATATTTTTTACAATATTATCTGGGGAACATACCTCCAATATTATCCAGATAGTTTCTAGCTACGTCGTCGAGCTGCAGCACCTGTATGACGGGCTGCGGCTTGGAGCGCGGCCTTCGAGCCAGCCGCACCACCAGCACAGAGGATATTAGGAACACTGCCACCAGTACCACGGCACCCAGTGATATACCCACGTCTCTGTCTAGGAAAACTGGAAAGAAAGACGGTACATTCATTAACTATTATAATTTAAATTCTATTTTCTTGTGTAATTGAAACATTAAGCTTAGTAAGCATTGTAATATTTCGATAAACTAGCGCCATCTGTTGACCAAAACACAGTATACGGGATAAAGTAAGGGAGGAACACACTGCGTAGTTTGGTTTGCGAATTATTGAATTGCCTACTAGATGTCTTTGCTTATCAACTTGTTAAACGTGGTTTTGTTCGTAATAAACTCTAGTGGTTTTTGAAACAGGCACTAGATGGCTTTGTTTATTTTATTGTTGTTAACAATTTTACTCTGTGACAACTAATTACTTGACCCAATTCAAGTAATTATTAAAATCAAGTTTTTACTACTTATTTATTTGTTTCTTTCTTTAGAGGACATAATTTTCTAAAGCACAGTTTCATTTGTGAATGAATTTTCAAAATTGTGTGGTAATAGAACACTTACAATGCCACCACGGTGGATCAGCAGCATGTAGCAACGTATCTGTAGGCCGGAGAAGCAGTGGAGCGGAGCATCCATATCTATTGCAGGCTCTTGCACCAGCCTCATCACCTCTTCTGACAGCACCGAGACCAGCTCGAACAGCCAGGCCACCAGCTAGTGCGGTGCTGGGTGCATTAAGCCCAGGTCCACCAGCTGCTAAAGCTCGTCCACTACCGAAACCCATACTGGCGCGACGCTCCAGTACTAAAGTGGAGTTACTTTCCGACATCCTCCATACTGAGACTTCATAGTATGTTGCGTTTTCCACTGTAATAGAGATAGAGTATGTTTAAGGATATTTTCATGTGACTAAAATTGTCACTTCGGAATTTTTAGATCACAATGTTAAAGTATTAAGGATATCATCACAGCTTAAGGGTGTCGCTGTCCAACAGTTTTTTTGATGGGCTGACGTTTGACCACTATCTCGCCTGGTGGTAAGCGATGATGCGGTCTACGATGTTTGTTACTAGGCTACATCTCATGAACTATAACAGCTAGTTATGTAGAAGAAATATTTACATTAGAAAAATTACCTGGAATACACCTCATCTGGAACTCCCCGAACTCATAAGTGATATCGCACAACTGAGGCTGAGGTGGCCTCAAGTGCTCAAAGGTAAATATCCTGTCACAGGGCTCCTCTTGTGACGCAATCCCATTGCTGGCCTCACAACTGGCCCTCAAGGTCTCTGCTAAGGGTCCCGTGATCTGATCCAAGGGTAATATAGGGGACCCCGTGGTAAGGTGCTGGACTTCGAAGCCTGCAGGTTGTAAGTGCCAGAAGTACGTGTCTGGAGTTGGCAACGCCTTGACGACGCAGTGTACCGTCTCTTTCACAAGTCTTATGCCGTAACCCGTACATTCTGGTGGGTCTGGAAATTAGGAAGAGTTGTGATGTTATACGATGGGATTTAACTAGCAACTTGCTATTCATTTGGAATATAAATTATGGAAAAGATTTATTTTTGATTTCGGAGTAGGTACTGTTAACTAACTTTTGTGATACATACTTACTCGTGTATTTATGTGACTAGAAACTCGACTAGTTTCAAGCCATACGAGAAAATACAAATAGCTATACAAGCGCTCATATTCATGAGCAGCAAAACATTCACGTATTAACAAAAATATTTATAGCTTATTGATAGTTTATGCTTACAGAAAACAGTAATAACGATGGTCTCAGATCTGGTCTCTCCTATAGCGTTCCGCGCGGCGCATGCGTACCGGCCAGCGTGCGCTCGCGTCGTCTCCTCCACCAACAGCTGGTGTGAAGATGTCGCGTCACCCCAGATATTACCGGGCCTTATCTCTAAATCCTGGAAAATTAATTGACAATTTGTGAGTACACTAATGACTGAAGAATATTGAATTATGCGTCAATAGTCTTTAAATTTAAAGTATAATATGTTCCTTAAAGAAGCCTTCAAAAGCGCTGTTGCATTGAAGCAGGGTCAGGGATCAACTTCTCGTGTTAGCCAAAAAAGGCACGCAGTCTAGAACAGTGCCAGTGCTGGTATATGGCAATAGATTTGGCCTTTTTTATAGATATGGGATATATAACATAATTTTCTAAAAGTAGGCTCTATCTACGCCTTAACAATTAATAGATGTGATGTTACTTAGTGAGTTAAAATTTCCTAGTAAATAACAAGCTGTATTTTAAAACCGTGTAATTAAAGACCTTAGGCGTGCGTGGTCGTCGGTTTTCGGCCTTTGAAGTCAGTAACATCGATTTAATGGCTACTTACATTAAAATACCATGTAAATTGCTCAACCGGTGGGTTCGCTCTGACGTCACATTCTAATTGTAGAGAATCCAACTCCACAACGTCGTTCAAATTGCCATCGCCCAATTTTATCACGTCTACCATTGGACTATCTGAAAAAACACGAAAAGAACTATTCTAGTAAAATTAAATAGTTTTTCTATTTCTAACTGTAATAAAAATGACAAAAAATCCATTCAATACTAGCCATGTAAGTTAAACTAAAATAATGTTAGTAACAAAACAGAAATTTCCCACGAGGCAGAACGCACGCTAAAACTCATTTACAAAAAAGGAACACACACTCAGAAAATGGAACCTTAAATACGGTACTCCCAATTATTAGATGAACTATTTAGATAACTTTCGCGAAATAGGGAATGTAATGATGCCACGCTGGAGTCCCAGTTGGGTGCCATTATACTCTGTGTCGTAACGTAGGTACGAATTGCGCACAGGATTAAAGTCTAGATATGATACATTTTACCGCCAACATTGAGGGTAATGTCATTACATTGGAACCCAGTTGGGCGGCATTAAAAAGTACGTAACGACACAAACGAGAGTTGCGGCCTTATTTCCCATAGTAGGTTTTTATTCTGTGCTTTGTCGTTGTTAGACTCTGTTTATATGTATGTATTCAAATAAAAATGTAATATTAAGTTTTATTTATACCATTCCTGAAGTCCCTGTCGGGCGCCATTTCAGGTTTATGCATATTGTTAGAATTTGATACGCTGAATGGTTGTGGTTTGAATGAGGTTTGAATATGACATTTAAATAATTCTGCGTTTACATATTTATCTAGGATTCGGAGGCAGTACCATCAATAGTAATGGCGCCCAACAGGGTCATCTGTTGGGCGCCATTTAAAGTTAGTTTCATAGTAAAGTATGAACAAATGTCTGTTTTCATAGTTGTGAGTTGTAGTTATGCCGTTTGTGTACTTACATGTCACATTAAGTGTTATGACATCGGCCTTGGAGCCCCGGTTGGGCGCCATTACTGGATTGGTTGCGACACAAGCGAGGGTAGCGCCATTGTCACCGACCGCTGGGCTCAGCTCTAGGTACGATATCGCTGTCAGAGATGAATTGAACCACGTCTGGAAACAAAGATTGATTGTGATATATGTATTATATAAATATAGCCTACCTACGTATAGAATGTTACTTCGCAGTTTTTGTTCCCCGGTGAGGTAAGTAGAGGCGTAGACTTGGCAATATACAAAATATTTAACGTTTTTATAATAAAAAAAAATCATACTATTATAGGGGTTTATGTTATTTTAGTAAAATATTGGTAACCTAAATAAACCTTTATTATTAAAGAAACTCCAGTAAAACCGCGTGTTGTGGACAAATTTCTATCCACTTAAAACCTAATATATGTAGTGTTATTACACTTTGCAGTCAGTGGACAAACATAATTTCTTTAATACCATGAAAGTGAATATGTGATAACATAATTTGTCCGTCGATTACAAAGTAATTTTATATTATTAAACTTTGTTTGCATAGGAAAATTTCCATGGAATTCTGGATAAATTGGATCACAAGGTTATTGGACTAATGATGTCTGGAGGGCCTAATTTCTTTATTTTGAGAAGATTGGATTACCCAATGTGATTGTTTTTAGTCATTAGTGTTTGTAAAGTCTTCAAAGTATTATGTAATGTGTCTAGACAAGAGCCAGTAGCTCCGGAACAATTCCATTTTATTTGTATATAAATTATCTGACTTTTGACCGAAGCAGATGAATTTTTTTTCTGTTTGGGATTTTTTATGTCAATGTCAACCATTGAGTTTTCTATTCTCTGGTTCGACTAGCGCTTAAATGCCATGTTCAGTTTTAGCAGTATAAGGTACAAATACTTAATTCACAATAATATTCTCTCTACAATTTACTGTTCGAAGAATTTAATATAGACTATGCCCTCGTTCTTCCTATAACAGTATAAAAGCGCTTATGCTCATAGAGATGGCTTGATGTCTATATTTCAGAGATCCAATCCCATCACACTTCATCACGTGATTTCAAATCAACATCAATCCCATATATATTGATTAGCGATACGAAACGATCACAAATATCGAAAAGCACTTGTACTGAGCCTCTAGAGACGATTCAAATTGTATCTCGCAGTGAATCGGTACTTAAAGTATGTACACAATACGCTTTTGTATAGTGGCCAGCATATCAAGATACTCCAATGTGTCAATTTTTATCGTTGGATTTTCGACTTTGGAACTAAACGATAGAGTTGAAAATCGAATATAGAAATTTGACAGAATAGAGAAGGCTGATCTGCTGCCCACTGTACTGTTTTATTACGAACAAGTGGTAGTTTGGGAGTGCTATCAACGATCATACTACTTTAAAATAAATGCATTCCTCGAACAGAAAGCCATTTTTTAGTAAAAATATCATCGTCCGAAATTCACATTTAAAAATGTTTTTTTCTTGAATCTCGTTATGTTCGCTTCATAAAAACAGCTGTGAAATTCAGGGTCTAAAATGCCTTTTATGTTCCGAGGTGCAAAATCCAGTAAGGTTCGTAGTAAATAGGGCGCCTATAACCCTGCTATTGACTAAAGCCGGGGTGTTAGCACTCACACCTTCGTGGTATAATTCCTTGCTAACAACCCAGGTAATAGCGATATTTGCTTTGACAACTACCCTCGTCTGAGAGAGCTAGAGAGCCCTTTATGTGGTTTCCAGCTTTGTAGAAACTTGACGCAAATTACAATTGTCAAGCCATAACTCCCTAGCAAGCATTTTCAAATGATTGACGCTCGGTAATTACCTGGATCCCCTTGTTTGTTAATTGATTTCCACGCTCTTCTTTTCCGGGATTGCAACTTTTTGCGATAATTAACGAAGTCATCAGTCCATTAATTAAGATTATTCTGCTGTTTTACAACAATTAGAGTTGAAAAAAGGGGATCAATTAACCGTCTATTTCGATGACGATTTCATTTTATTTGAGAAATTTCTTTCTTTATGTATATCTCTACAAACGAATTTAAGAATGAAATGAAGTATCCCGCGAACACGATGCATCTGCATATTTATGAGACAACGCGATACGCATACAAATCGACATAATAATAATATTTTCTTTAAATAAATTAGTAAAGATAAACAAATTATCTTTGTATTCATACACGCTAAAAAAATACAATTGGGTACTGTCCTCAATCGAAAATAAATTAATTCGACTGTTCAACTATTTAATACTATCTGATATTAAAAAATAATCACATTTATATCGATTGATTTTATGACCAACTTAATTTTAGTATTTTCCAACAAATTTTCAAGAAATAAGTATGCTGTTTGACGTTAAAAGAATGTGACGTCACAATACAAAATCTCATCTAAAATTCATAGAAAGCTGTCATTTTTGACAATTCGTAAAAAGTATTAAATTGACTAGTTGGCAAATATCCAACTGTAACCATAACTTGGAGTCCAAAAAAGTTTTGAAAGAAAAAATAAATTACCTGATTGCTATGATGTGTGAGGTGCTTGTGGTCGAGCCACCAGGATAGCTCAGGCTGTGGGTAGGAGCCCCGCGCCGTGCACTGCGCGAGTGCAATGCTGCCGGCGCGCAGGGCATCACCCACAGTACCACGCACCCAGTGGATAGACACGTTGTACGCTGGTACTGTGAAAAATATACTTTTGATTGACTGCCTTCATAAAAATGTTGAACGCAAATCCTTCGCTTACTTAGGTCAACGATGACCTACGTGGCATATAACGTGTTAAGCTCTGATAAATTAAATTATGACGTCATTGTAAAGATAATTGAATGAAAGAGTAATAAAGTATTATAAAGAAAATTAGGTTTGAGGGATAATAGTGTATAATTAAGTTAGAAATCAGTAAATATCATCGAAAACTTGACTGCACGGTTCGATTCCCTCACGAAGCAACTCTTTATGTAATCCACAAATTGTTGTTCCGGGTCTGGGTGTAATGTGTATGTGATGTTTGTAAACGCACCCACGACACAGGAGAAATTACTAATGTGGGCCGTTGTTTGTTTTTAAAAAAAGCCTTTGCTTATAAACACGATATAATGCAGTTATTCATGACGATACAATTGATATCACGCGACTTCTGTTCATATACCTATACAAATATAATGCCTTTGCATTTACATTCACGATCACTACTGAAACAAATTTGTCCTTCATAAGCAATTTAGAATACTCCCAAAGTATAAAAAAAAACAATGAATGAATGTCGTTGTGGCCCAGAGGTTTAAGACAATCCTCTTCTCATGCATGAAGGTTCGAAACCTACCAACGGCAAGTCCCAATGTGACTTTTTCCGAGTTACATGTACTTTCTAAGATTATCTACACACCACTGATAAACAGTAAAGGAAAATATCGTGAGGGCCTGGGCTCACAATTTCTGATTACAAGTTTGTAATCGCTAACCCGCATTGAACAAGCGTGGTGATCAATGCTCAAACCTTCTTCGTGTGAGAAGAGGCTTTGCTCAGGAGTGGGTAATTTATAGGCTGTTGATGATGATAAAAAAACAACTTACAATACAGTTCAATCTCCAAGCTAGCTACGATAGGTGGCGATAGATGCGTGTTCGAGGCTCTGCAGGAGAGGGCAGCAGCATTGTCCCTGGTTAGAGGAAGATAGAGCTCGTTCTCACGGACTGCTGGGATCTCACTGTCACCATCCGAAGCATCCACCAGCGTTTCGCCGGAGTACCAGCTTATGCGAGGTGGTGGACGACCTGGGGAACAGAAATTTAGGTTTTAGTTGGAGGGAAGATGTTTCAATTTAATCTATACTAATCTATACTAATATTATAAAGAGGAAAGATTTGTATTTTTGTATTTTTGTATTTTTGTATGTTTGTAATGAATAAACTCAAAAACTACTGAACCGATTGCAATAATTTTTTCACCATTCGAAAGCTGCATTATTCAGAAGTAACATAGGCTATATAATATCACGCTAGGTCCTATAGTTGTGGAGCAGTAACCAAAAATGTTTTAAAAACGGGGGAAAAGTATCGTTTCTGAGGCCTTCCGTGGCGTGCGCTGAGCATATAGTTAAAGTTATAGATGAATTGTTTATCTTAACATTATTTTTAAAAAAGTCCGCGAGAGCATATGTCTACCTTTTATAGTTTACCCATAACAATCGTTTTAATGAATGGTTAAATCCTTATAAAAGTTTGCTCTAGATAACTTTTGAATTGTTCAATCGGTTACCTTAAGACGCGACATCGACAACGGAGACAACGGATAAATATAAATAAAACGTAAAAGTATGTAAAAAATCTTAAGTCCCCCCGTGCGAAGCCGGGACGGGCCGCTAGTACCTAGATAAAAGACAAAATTATATTTTTGAGGTTAGATAACATAACTACTTTTAATTATTATCTTCCAGATTTGTTATGTTTGGAAAATTCCCATTCAATAAACTGACATCTTGAATAATTTACAAATCAAAAACGTATCTTGGGAATCTGATAAAAATACCATTTCAAAGCACAATTCTGCTCACCTCAAAAGCTGATTGAATTCTCAAAGCAACAAAACAAACTATCTTAAACAAACTGATACAAACATTTAGTCGGGGCAAACGTCAGAAACGGAGGGTAGTTGGCAAAAATTAAGCGATAACTGTACGCCCGTCGGAATGTAGGGTAGTTGTGAAAGTTGGGAAGTTCGATACTACCCTCCGAAATATTGTGACGAGCCCACTGTTTGGGTAAACTTATTTATCTTCGTTAACAGCTGGAATGGTAATGAACATGTGTTTGTGTGGTGATATTTAAATAGGTCAACTGCTAGGCTAATCTGTAACTGTTGATTCGAAATTTAAAGGGAATTCGATCGCATTCTTGCCCGTCATAGGTCGAGATCCCAACCAATGACATGGCGGACTGCGATCGAGTTCATCTTCATTTCTTCTATTTCGTGATTTGACGGCACGTTTGATGCGGTGGCTGGGCAACCGGCTGCCGCGTCAAACGTGTCGCGAGTTCGATTCCCGAACGTAGCAATTCTTTGTGCGATCCATAAAATGTTGTTCCGGGTCTGGGTGTCAAGTGTATAGGAACTTGTATGTTTGTAAACACACCCACGACACGAGAAATTCCTAGTGTGAGGCATTAAAAAGAAAAAAAAGCAGATTTTAATTATAAAACAGCATTTTGTAAAATCGCAACTTCTAGATTGTTTCTCACCTGTAGCTGTAGCCAAATGCCATTTAGCGCTTGTCTACTTGTATAATAGACAACCAAATTATATGGAATTGACGTAAATTTTGACACTTGTCAGTGTCATCCCCATACATTTTGATTTCTACTCTCTCTCTGTAGACAAGCGCTAAAGTGGCTTTTGGCTAAAGGCACAGTTCTGTGTTTATCCGTATATCTTATACTACTATATAAAACTGTAGTTTGTTTGTTTGTTTGAACGCGGTAATCTCAGGTACTACTGGTTTGATTTAAAAAAATATTGTGGGATAACCCATTTTAGGCTATAAAACATCACGCTGCAATCAATGGGCGCCGAGCAGAGCGGGTGGAAATGCGCGGAGGTAACTAGTACAAGAATAAATGTAGGTACCTATTGTCAAATACCATTTCGGCGTAAATTGAACTGTGTAAGCTGAACCGATTTGGCTATAGATATATTATTTAACATTTCTGTGCATTTGGCTAATTTTTGTCTTGAAATATTCGTGGAAATCTAGAGAAGGCTGAGTCAAGTCGAGGGAATGCTAAAAGGCGAGAAAAATAATATTTAGGTGGTACAGCTAGTAATTGCCGGGTCGGCAAGTAATGTATACCTAATTAACATAATAATGTATGCTACATACTGCTATAGTAGGTTAACCGTACAAGTGACCTTTTGTCAGCAACAGGTGTGAAAACTTAAGATCTTTGATTGCATACTGGCTTACTTAAGTTGCATTAAGCAGACTTAACATAATGTAAGTTATAGATGTCTCTAGCAAAGTTTCTGTGTGTATTATCCCTTGAATTATGACTCCTTTGAGCTTTGAGTAAAAGTTCTATAAAAAAACATTATATACCGTGAACTCTATTATACTCTCTCGACCAACTTGCCATCAAGAGTAGTCTTGATGGAGAATAAACATGATGATGAAGAGAATAAACACAAAACAATTAAAATTTTATTGTAGTTTAAAAAAAACAGAACACATACGCGCATTGCACGTGCCACCCGACGAGAAATATATTTTTGATAATTAGAGGTACATGGCGTGATAGTGTACTATGAGTTCGTATGCGCTATCGAAGTTTGCTTTTTGGAATGCTTTACTTATTACATTTTATTTCTTTGTAAAACTAGTGTATTACCAAGACAGAACCATTTTACTTCGGGGTGAAAACATGAAGTAGAAACCCGCGTCCGCAAAAATGTTGGGAGTTCGAAAAACGTAATATCAGAGTAAACTACGTTTCAATTCGAGAACTGACTTCGGAAACCGTAATGACAGTTTTAAAAGAAATACTTTCGAACAAGCCGGTTCAAGTAAAAACTTAAGTGAAATAGTTGTATTTAATTGATCTTTGTGGAATGTCTGTTTTTTTAAGAAACCTCCGTAAGCGGACATTACTGACATCGGGGACATTGCTTCGGAAAAGATCACCGATTAATTGAAAATCGGATACCTACCTGACGTTTATGTAACATTCATAGGAAAGAAAAAACATTTTTTCAAAAAAATGCTTCGGCATGAATGGGCCGGCTCGACCGGAGTGAGACCACGGCCTCACAAAAAACTGACGTGAAGCAACGCTTGCGTTGTTTCGTCGTGTGAGCGAGGTTACCGGAGGCCCATATCCCCCTATCCCCCAATCGCTGAATCCCCAACGATCCTCAAACTCCTAATTCCCAAAAGGCCGGTAACACACACCACTGGTGTTTCGCGTGTCCATGGGCGAAGCCGATTGCTTACCATAAGGTGACCCGTCTGCTCGTTTACTGGCTTCTGCCATAAAAAAACAAACACACAGTTTTTACAGATTAAATAACAGGACCGATATTTTTTACCCGATTTCCGTGGAACGTGTGCGTTTCAAAGAGCAAATATAAGTTTTATTTTTTTGCAAATAAAAAAACGTTTGTCGATGCCTCGATGGTTGCATGTGAGTTTCTGCATGATTTGCCAAAACTTATAACGTAGGTACCTATCGATGTCATGATGAGTTTTGCAGTTTTTATTCTTTGCTCACCAAATAACGTGTAAACTAGTTAAATATTTTTAAAAAAATACATACGTAGGTACACTTGGATGGCAAAGCTACAGCGTTTGTATTAATTTATTTGTTAAAATTTTTATCTAATGAGAGGAAATAATCGTTGCCTTTGAGATACCCAGATAGTAAGAATTTTGTACAAGTGAATATGATTTGTCAAGGTTTGTTTTTTAAATTCTACTGAGATTATTTTAAATTCTAAATTTTAAATTCTACTCCGGGTTTGCGGAGATGGTAAAAGGCTACTGATGCCGATACGGGCCGCGGAGATCGTAAACGGTTCCCGGGCTCCGGCTCGAATTGCAGGAGTAGGAACGGGGTGGTTTTTAGTCAGAAAGAGCCTGACACTCCCTCCAGCCTCACCCAGGCGGGAGAAATCATTCGATGAATTTCCCTTGTTAAAAAAATACCAAACTATATGAAACTACAAATGAATCATTCACTTCTACAAAACAGTCTTTGCTAATACCTACAAAGCTACCTCCCTTATTCAATACAAACAATTATATATTTATTAACTCGTACATCTACTGATTACATCACTAATCACTTAATTAGTTTACAAAAGCTCATGAATTCTAGATATTATTATTACTTTGTAAATTGACTTTAGTTTGCAATCACGTCTTGTGTCAATTATTAATATATTAATTTACGAAACTAATGATATTAAGTTCTTAGTTTATTAGTCTGGCGTATTGATGTGTCTTTGATTTGTTATATTAAATAATACTTAGTTATTTAGATGCAATTTAAGAGACGTGATACGAAATAGTATGTTGTTTAGTAATTGAATTATATTGTCAAAGATTACGTCTCAAATTTAAGATAAAATGGATTTTGTTAATCAATGAATTAGACTAATTAAATGATGTTCTTTATATTTTGGCTTTTATAAAATTACAGATAGAGGTGTTCTATTCGTAGTTCGTCGTATCTGATATGGTTGTTTAAACATTCACTGTTCTAAATAAATTATTATGTTTTCGTCTTACTCACGCAAAATGTTTGACGAGGAACTCGATTAGTTTCAAGCCATGCTAGAGGCACGTATTCATGAACAGCATCCCGCGACCCCGCGACGCGAGAGTGGCAGCGCGACAGTCGCCGCGTCGCGGGCCTCATGCATGCATGGCTTGAAACTAGTCGAGTTCATCGTCAAACATTTACGTGAGTAAGCCGAAAATATAATCATTAATTTAGTATGTCTCACGAATATTTTAACATAAACATTTACTGTTCTAATTGATATTTCTTCTTACTATTTCATTCATAATTAACTAAAAATAACAGTTTACTCACGTAAATATACTCATGTAAAAAGCTCAACTAGTTGCAAGTCACAGAGGAAGTATAGGCTCCATGACGTCACGTTGCCGCGACCACGCATTCTGCTCATAAGGAAGAGTCCCCCTGTTATTCGAAACTAGTCGAGCATTTTGCAATTTACATATTTACGTTAGCCGTTATTTTTAGTTAATTCAGTATGGTACGATAGTTATTATAAAACACTCCTTTCCTTTAAAGGAGCAAGAAGCCATGTGGTTGAAGATGATCATGATGATGATCTACTTACCTCCGATGACAAGACAGCGCAGCACTAAGGTGTCTCCATCATGGTAAGGACCCACTCTGCCGACCACCTTGTTGCTCATCTCATCCATGAAGAAAGGAGGGCTTGGGAGAACTGAAACAAAAAGACGTAATGAGGATTTTTGACACAGACTTTTTTTGACTGGTTTTCGACGTCTTTATGCCGATTGCTATGCTATGCTATGTAGGTATTATCTAATAGTAATATACCTATAAGTAACTCGGAAAAAGTCCCATTGGTATTTGCCGTTGGCAGGTTTCGAACTTGGACTCTCATGCATGAGAAGTAGGTGTCTTAAACCTCCTGGCTACCACGACCTTTTTAATTTTTGATCCAGTATAGAGATAGACAGTATATTTTAGTGTAGGAAAGCCAAGCTTCGGCACGAAAGGGCCGGCTCGACTAAAGTGATACAAGCCGACGAAGCAACGCTTGTGTTGTGTTTCTTCGTGTGAGTGAGGTTACCGGAGGCCCTATTTCCTCCCCCTCCCCTTCTCCAATCTCCCCAATCCCTAAACCCCCAACGATCCTCAGACTCCTAATCCCCAAAAGGCCGATCACGCATTTGTAACGCCTTTAGAGTTCCAGGTGGCCATGTGCGGCGCCGATTGCTTACAATCAGGTGATCCGTCCGCTCGTTTACCGTAAGCCGGTAAACGAGCGGACATAAAAAAGACAATCTTTATTTTAACTGTAGTCAGTCAATAAGGTGGAGATATCTACCTAAAAATACATGGTATGTAAGTATAAATTAAATAGTTATAATTCTACAATGGAGCAAGGGAGCAAGACTGTTACCGTTATCAAATCTATTTGTCTTAAAATACAATATCTATTTGTCTAATGACTGCCTTGATGGCCGAGTGGTCGCAAGTGCGACTGTCGGGCAAGGGGTCTCGGGTTCGATTTCCGGGTCGGGCAAAGTATTACTGGGTTTTAAAAAAAATCTCAGTAGTAGCACGGAGTCTGGAAATGTGCAATAGGCTCACCCCCTATTATATGGGACTCATAACATAAATAGTGAAAAGTGGGTGTTACTTCTGTGTGCACCTCTGCCTACCCCTTCGGGAATTAAAGGCGTGATGTTATGTTATGTTATTTGTCTATTTAATCTGGAAATCGGACCAAAACTATACTTAACTATAAGTAATACACAAGAAGCGTTTTTATTTGAACCAGTTAATAACTATGAGTTAGGTAGGTTCAAGTAAAATGTACGGATAATAACATTGCCGTGAAGACTGTAATTGACATTTACTACACAGTAGTCAAATATAAGGTGAAACAGCTGCCGGTATATTTCGGAGTTAGGCAGCTGTACCACTGACGCGAGGGTGTTACAGTCGCGAGTCGCTTTTAAACACGCGATTTTGTGTACATAAATAACATTTCATTTACAAAATAAAGTAAGAATAATATTCTACACAATTGCAAACTTACGATGTTGGTTTTTAAATGTCATTTAGAAAGATTTTGTAGTTAGTATTGCAATGCGAGCGGGACGGGGTGGTTTGTAGTCAGTACAAGTCTGACAATCCATCTCGCCTCAACCGGGTGATTCCCCCCCCCCTCCAAAAGCGTCAAGTTTAACATAATGTTATTGTGTAGGGTTCTGAATAACTAATACTCAGTGTTTTGACTCCTAGTCCCAGGACTACAATTAGTAGATGACACCTAAAGTTGTTTCACTTGGGAATCAAACCCGTAAAACAATGTGCGACAGCCAGTTGCCCAACGACTGCGCCAACAGTGTGTGTGCCAATTTTAAACTAAAAGGCGTCTTTAAAACGTTTCTATCTATCTTTATATATAAAAATGAAACCCGTTTCCCGTTGTCGCGCCATACCTTGAGAACGGCTAGACCGATTTGGCTGTTTTTTTTGTTGTGTTTTTTATCGTCAGGAGGAGGTTCTTATGACAGAAAAAGTCCTGATAATCCTACGGGAACGGGAGAAAACAGGACTGCGCGTACGAAGTCGCGGGCAGAAGCCAGTATAAAATAAAACGGCATCAACAAAATAAAATTAGGTCTAAAAGAATAATAAAAAATTCACGTACATCGCGCGTTTTAACCCGCGGCAATAGTCCTGCATCTTTATCCTCACACTTTACGATACCCATGGGGCAAAACAAGATGGCACGGTTCCTTCTATTTGGGGAACAACGTATATACGATCTTATACTCTAGAGAATTAAGCCTAATGTACATCCGCAACTCATTTTTTACATGTCAACTTTGAATTCATGGACTACCTATCACACGTTTATGATCGCTTTGAGATGGACGCCTTGGACATCACGTTTATCTTCCTAAAGGGCCTGTCTGGGAGATAATTTTTGGGATAATATAAAATATATTAAACTGTCAGACACCAAGCGGTCACCGGTGACCGCGACCTATTGTTCTTTAATTGTGTCTATAAAACCGGTACTCGATGAGTTAAATAGGTATATGTTCTTTCTGGCTGCCTTGTTTCCGAGTGGTCGCAAGTGCGACTGCCGGGCAAGGGGTCTCGGGTTCAATTCCGGGGTCGAGCAAAGTATTACTGGTTTTTTTTTATTCTCAGTAGTAGCACGGAGTCTGGATTTGTGCCCGGTATATGGTAATAGGCTCACCCCCTATTACATGGGACTCATAACATAAAATAGTGAAAAGTGGGTGTTAAACATCACGCTCCGACCAATAGGAACTGAGCAAACCGAACAACTAGCTAGTATTATATAATTTATTCATAATGCATTTATAGCTTCCTGGTTGTTGACTGCCTAGTTGGCCGAGTGGTCGCAAGTGCGACTGCCGGGCAAGGGGTCTCGGGTTCGATTCCCGGGTCGGGCAAAGTTTTACTGGGTTTTAAAAAAAATACCATTATTATAACATGAACCACGATTTATATTCACAAATACACAGATGTCTGCCGACCATATGAGGAATATGCCGTCGTGTTACCTACTTTGAGTGTATCATAATTCAGCATTAAACTTTAAGAGCGCTCGCTACGTTTGCACATACTTCTAGATTACAATTTCGCACTCAAGAAGCGAAATATTTTAGTATTTAATTAAGATTTTCATATCTTTGTATTTTGTCGTAAAATATTTGATTGTGTTTCATATAAGGAGTTTTCATGTAAGGTGTATTTGACTGTATGATTGGCAATTGTTGGGTAGAAAAAATCTTCAAAAAGTATTTCTTTTTATTTAAAGTAGGTAGAGTATCGGTTACCTAACCACCTGGAGAAATTTTATCAAATTTATTACAATAAACAGCTTATTTACGTAAATGTTTGAGGGTACGCGATTTGTTTCAAGGTGTGGCTGGGGCTCACAATCCCATGACCGATGACTCGCAGACAACGGAGTGCGTCAGTATCCCGCATATTTTAATTCATTGATTTGTATGTGTGTGTATATGTCGCATGATAATAATAATTATATGAATTTTTTTTCCTAGAAACGGCACGTATCGTGAGGAGCCCTAACCACCGGTAGCTTGGACCATGCTCCCACTACTAGTCGACGTCGAGTTATTTTATTAAATTTTTTCTTAACTAGTATTTAATAATGTAATTTATAGATATTGTTAGATAAATATGTGCAAATTATATGAAAACTATATTGTTTAAAGTTAATATAGAGGTATATGTTTAAAGTCACGTCGCTCGAAGGACTGACGGCAGATGGGCCAGGAAAGTCCTTGAGTGGAGACCACGGACCGGAAGACGAAGCGTGGGCAGGCCTCCCGCTAGGTGGACCGACGACATCGCCAGAGTTGCGGGGAGCCAGTGGATGCGGGTGGCGAGCTGTCGTTCGACGTGGAGGGCTAAGGGGGAGGCCTTTGTCCAGCAGTGGACGTCTTCCGGCTGTTGATGATGATGATGATGATGATGATGATGATGATGATGATGATATGTTTAAAATTAATATAATTATACTAGACACACTATATCAGTTTATAGAGTATATCAGTTCACAATAGGCTCACCCCCTATTACATGGGACTCATAACATAAATAGTGAAAAGTGGGTGATACATTGTACAGTGGCATTAAGTGCCGTAATGTGCACCTCTGCCTACCCCCTTCGGGGATAAAAGGCGTGATGTTATGTTATGTTATGTTACTATATCAGTTTATTTGTGACTAGCTTTTGCCCGCGGCTTCGCTCGCGTCACAAAAGGATAAAAAGCCAATGTGACTGGTATATCCAATTAGCACAGCGCTATCTATACCAATACTTTTGTTTTCCCTCGGGAATATCAAATTTTTCCGGGATAAAAGTACCCTATTATTTAATCCGGACTTCTAACTTTACGTCTGCAAAAAATCAAAGCAATCGGTTTAGTAGTTACGGCGTTAAAGTGGAACAAACAAACAAACACACTTTCCGATTTATAATATAAGTAAGGATTATATTATATTATATCATATATATTATATATAGTAAGTATAGCAACCATCTTTTTCCACATGAATAATGTACCATAAAGCGTATTAAATTCTATAGTTACGTTAATTTCAGGTTTCAGTACATTTTCAGCGCAGCTTTCAGGTCATTAATACTAATGAGTAAATAATATTACCCTGTGGCGTAATTAAGGACATACCAAAGGCTATTTATTCATAAGGCTAAGAATTAGTAGATATTATAATTAGGTGGAATAGTACTTATACTATGGATATTCTCTTTATGATCTGGTGCAATTGGGGGTTTTGTTCGACGACTGGTTCTTTATCAAACTTGCGGTTATGGGGATTTCATTTTTAGTATCTAAAGTTGTTACCGATAGGTATTAGGTAGTAGTATTTTCTTTTATTTAAGGGTGAAAATCATCGAATGTCTACTCCCGCCTGGGTGAGGCGGAAGGGAGTGTCAGACTCTTACTGACTAAAAACCACCCCGTTCCTTCTCCTGCACGTCGAGCCGGAGCCCCGGTTACCCGTTAGGTTCTCCGCGACTCCGAATCGGCATCGGCCCTGTTGGGCCCCATCTGTGGTGGTCTGATGGCTCTTTGAGGCGTGCACGGAATGCAACGCGCCGTACGCTCGGGTTAGGTAGTAGTATTAGGTTTGTAGGTAGGTTTTAATTGTGATCTT